AATTCTAATCAATCCTGGTATAAATATGGCTGCAGTAGTAGCAAGATTCGACCCAACCGAAGAATTTTCGACCGATAAGTTTATGTTCTTGCCGAGCCCACATGTTTACATGGAGAGGCATATTAAGCCGATCGAAGGAGTCGTAAGACCAGCTAATTTGAAATTTGAACTGGGATTGTTCAATTTCCATAACAGCCGAAAGTCGATTAAGAAAGGTCAATTCATCGGTTATCTCGAACCGTATGAAGAGATAGAAGATGATGAGATCTGCATTAATTCCGTTAAACTAGCCGAACGAACGCCGGAGGAACAACAAGAAATTCGAGAAGCCGTCGATACGCTTAAGATAAACTCTAAGCTAACAGCCGAACAAATAGCGAAGATCAAGGAAGTATTCCTTGAATATCCTGATCTATTTGCTACTAAACGCCGACCTTTTGGTGATGTTACAATCGTAAAGCACCACATCGATACGGGTGATTCCCCGCCGATTAAATGCAAGCCGCACCGAACCTCTTGGCGAGGTCGGGAGATAATCGAAGAGCATGTTAAAGAAATGCTCGAAAAAGGTATTATTCGCCGATCAAACAGCAACTGGTGTTTTCCAGTTGTGCTGGCTTCTAAAAAGAATCCAGACGGTACAATCGGTACGCGTTTTTGTGTCAACTACATAAAGTTGAACGACGCAACGAAAAAGAATAATTACCCTTTGCCGTCACCGGATGAATTGCTTCAATCCGTAGCCGATAATGAATATTATGTAGGTGTCGATTGTAATGCCGGATTCTGGCAGATACAAATGGCCGAAGATTCAATCGAAAAGACTGCGTTTATCACGCAAGACGGTCTTTTCGAATTCTTGCGCATGCCCTTTGGTGTGTGCAATGGGCCGGCAACATTCCAAGAGACCATGAATAAGGCTCTTGTAGGAGTACGCAATGAGAATATCTTTGCGTACTTAGACGATATTATTGTAGCCGCTAAGGATTTCGACGATTTGATTCGTAAAATCCGACTAATGTGTGAATGCCTCGTAAAGGTCGGCTTCACGCTCAAGCCGAGCAAGTGCCATGTCGGTGAAACCGAGTTGCACTTCCTTGGACACATAGTGTCTAAAGCCGGAATCAAAACCGATCCGGAGAAAATCTCCGCGATTCAACATTACCCGAAGCCGCAAACTGAGAAGGATCTTCGATCGTTCCTCGGTTTATGTAACTATTATCGAAAGTTCGTTAAGGACTTTGCTAGCCGAACCCGAGCCATGTATGGCTTGCTAAAGGGTGAAATCGATGTAAAGAATAAGTGGACAGCCGAACATGATGCCGAATTTGCCGATTTGAAAAATGCACTGATAAATGCACCGGTTTTGGTCAAATTTGACCCAAATAAGCCGACCGTTATAGAGTGCGATGCTAGTACGATAGGAATAGGAGCTATCCTACATCAGGATGGTCATCCCATCGTTTATGCTAGCAAACTCCTAACCGATGCCGAACGTAAATATCCGATCACCGAATTGGAATGTATGGCTGTAGTATTCGCATGCCGTAAGTTCCGACACTTTATCGAATACTCACATTTCTATGTGCAAACCGATCATCAAGCGTTAACAAACTTGTTACGCTCTGTGTCGAGGAAGGAAGGCTTGAACGGGCGTCTGACCCGTTGGGCACTTCAACTGAGTAGTCAAAAGATGACTATTCAGTATCGGCCGGGTAAACAATGCGATAATGCCGATGCTTTAAGCCGACATCCAGTCGGACCGCCGGTTGAAACAGCCGACGATGACGACTGGGATGAGATGAAAGATCGGAAGTTTAGTACTCCGACCATTCGAGTCGTCACTATCACCGACCCAGCCGAACATGACGAAGTCGAAGATAATTTTAAGTATTATCGAGCCGAACAGGAAAAGGATCCTGTAATCGAAAAGCGTATTCATGCCCTTGAAGGCCGAGCCGAAAGTACGCACTTAATCAAGCGCGATCCATACTTCGAGTTATGGAATGGCGTTTTGTACCGATTAACCGAAAAAGACGGCCGCCTTGATCGACGGTTCGTCGTGCCGAAGCATATGCGTGTTGATATAATGCATGCTATGCACGATACACCGGCTAGTGGGCATTTAGGTCCACTAAAGACGTATCAAGCAATTGCGCTTCGTTATTATTGGGACGGCATGGTAGCCGACATCGATAAATACGTACGCAATTGTTATTTGTGCCAACACCGTAAAACCGAACGGAAGGCACCGCCGGGTAAGCTACAACAGATAGCTATCGGAGCTCCATGGTTCCGAGTACAAGTCGATTTAAAAGGACCCTTGCCGACTACCCCAAGAGGTAATACATACATAGCCGTCGCTATTGACGAATTAACTAAGTTCGTAATAGCTAAGCCGATTCCTAACGCGAAAAAGGAAACTGTCGCTAGTTTCCTTATTCATGACGTATTTTTGCCTTATGGCACGCCGCATATTCTAAACACCGATCGTGGAACTCATTTCCACAATAAGCTTCTTGAAGCGATCAACCATCGCTTAAAGATACAGCATCATTTTGGTGCCGCCTACCATCCTATTGGTAGAGGCCTAGTCGAACGTCAAATGCAAACCATTGCCGATTCGTTGGCAATGTACGCCGCCGACGGACGGGAAAAGAATTGGGATACCATTCTACCGTTCGTAATAGCCGCTAAAAATCGAGTTCAGAATAAAACTATTCATATGTCGCCGTACTACATGTTGTACGGGCGTGAGCAAGTTATTCCAGCCGATACGGTCACTAAGACCAACGTACCAGCCGAACATGCATCGATTGCTGAATATATGGAAGAATTTCGCCATAATTTAGCACGAGCGCATGAGTTAGCCGAAATTTATATGCGAGAAGAATTTATTAAAACGGCCGAACGTTTTAATAAAAAACGTAGGGAAGACGATTATCAGATCGGTGAACTGGTTCTTCTAAAACGAGAGAAGAAGAAGGGTGAAACCGAATCTTTCCGAGAAAAATTCGGAGGTAGATGGGAAGTCACGGGCTTCCCATATACTAACGCAGTCGAAATTGAAAATAAAGATAAGCCGGGAGAAACTCGCATTGTGAATTGCGAGCGTCTCAAGCGTTATAATACTACCGAAGAGAATCGTAAAGGAATAACCAGTACGATCTCTCTGCCGAAACCTGCCGAAAATGGTCTAAATGTGAACGCTGAGCCGTTCATACCAGCCGATACTGTAGAAGCTGTTGACGCTATAGGTGACACCGTTGAAAATAATGCCGAAGTCGTTATTGACGACGATCAGTGGGAAGCTGAAAGCGTGGTTGCCGAAGCTACTAGTCGTAAAATTACCAAGAAAAAGCCGATTAAATTGAAATTGCATGTACGCCGTAATAAAAACGGATACACACATGTAAGTTAATTGCCGACTGTATCCCCACTACAGTGAGGTCCGTACCTCCAGCCGAAATAAATCCCCACTATTTGTGTGGTCCATATCTCTCACCGAAATTTCTTCCAGCCGCTCCTATCTGGAGAACTTCACTATTAATTTCAAATTAATTAGTGATTAGCCGTAAAATTATCCCGATAAATTGCCGATTAATTACTGAAATAATTTTCAAAATATTCATGTAATTAATGAGCCGTAAGAAAAATAAAGAAAGAGCCGCTTCATTCACTTTCCTGTTTCAGTATTACAAGGGAAGAGTGAATTATCATGCTAGTCGTGAACGTTTCCGATTAGCTATTCAAGGCGCCGTTAATCGAGGTGAAATGCTTGAAGTGTATTTGCACTGGTCAAGTACTATTATGTATTCGCCGACAGACCTACGCCGTCGCTGGTATGAGCGTATGGTCATCAGTACGCCGGAAAGTTTTAGGGAAGCCGTTACTATCGCTATCCATGATATCCATAACAGACTTGGTTCGTCTGTAGCCGAAATAGCTAATTATATTACGATAGCCATGCCGATGCGACTTGTCGCCGCCGCACAACAGTTTCCCATGATTTTGGAAGCTGTCCACGAATTAGTCCGTAGAGAAATAATTGTGGAAATTACCGGATTAAATGTGCCGCGTTATGCGTTAGCCGATACCAACCGTACACGGTTGAGTGCCGTTAGTGGTGTCCCAGTAAGAGACTTGGGTCTACCACCGCCGGATAAGAAACGTAAGAACGTCACGGTCGTTCGACCACCGCCGCCGCCTCCAGAACCGACACACGCTGTTCTGGCGGATGCCATCGGTCAGATCTTACGATCTCGACAACAGCCGTTATTAGGGAGAATTACCGATACGTTAAGACATCGGTATAGCGCACAAGCCGTAGCAGTCGCGCTTAATCGCGAATGGGAACAAGGCCGACTTTTACGTCAGTTTAATCATCGCCAATTAATGGCATATTATACTGTAGCGCCGAACGTTTCTTTCTTGCAAGACTATCCGCTATTTGATGCTACTCAATGGCAAGAAGTAGTTATCCGTACGATATCCGAAATTAACGATCCATTGGGATCGACAGTCGATGAAATTGTGCAGTATATTCGCACGGTTCGTCCCGAGATGGGCAATCGTGTCGATCATTACGTTGAATTAGCCGTGTCGGAGTTGGTATTCAACCCGCGTATAATTTCCGTTAATGATCCGGAACGGGGCATCACTTGGCGAATAAACCCGGCGGATGCACCCGGCCCGTCACGCCGATAATTAAACTTGGGATTAAAATGCCGATAATTAAATTAATTTAATTTAATAGCCGTCTATTATTTCCCCACTAACTTGTGGTCTGTGCCTCTCGTACAATCACAAGCAAAGCCGATTAAAATAAAATTAAGTAGCCGATAGAGGTATCTTATAAGCCGTCAGTAATTCCCCGTTAAAATGTGGTCCGTACCTAGTCGCTCTAAATTAATTAACAAAATGCCGGTTAACTGAGTAAAATAGTCGAGTAAATTGGTACCGAATTAATATCGTAAAATTAATCAGTGTAATCATTGTAGATATAATGGAGCCGACGCAGTGTTATCGCTGCCGTTACAACACTAACCGCCGAAAATGTGCCGAATGTCTCTTTGGAGATAAACTGTACAGCGAACAGGAGAAGGACACCGTCGTGAGCCGATTGGTTAACGAAGTCCTGAACTGCAACCTGGATGCGTATGTCACACTTGGTGAGACGCATTTTGAGCCGGTATTCCAAGCCAAACCTTGGCTGCGTATCAGGATGAACGACGCAGCCCGGAAACTTATTGCCGCTCGTGAACCGCAGTGGTGTGATATGCCACTACCTGCCGATTTGCCACAACAGCCGAATTATGTTGCGCCGATGCAGCTGCCGATCAGCTATCCTGCACAAGTGCAGACGCCGATGAATCAGGTAAATAGTTCTGATTCTGAGACCGATACCTTTTCTTTAAGTGATTGGGAATGTATTCCACTAAATCGTAACATTCCCAGCCAGTGGGAAACAGACGTATTGCAATTAACCGATAATATGCCACAGGGATATACAACGAATCCCGTGTCGCCGCAGCAGATGTTGCAATATCCGCAATATCAACCGTATCAGTATCAGCCGGCGCAATATGCGCAATATCAGCAGCAAGCCGATGCCGCTTTTCATCAGCCGCAATATCAATACTACCGACAGCAGAACGAACAGGTAAATAGCCTAATAATTCCTGCTTGTCGATTATGTATAACGCAGCCGTCTGACACACTGCTTTTACAGCAGGCGCCGAGCAGTGCTAGCAGTCCAGGGACTTCCGATTCTTGGCTGCATGAGCGTGGATACCACGGAAATACTGCACAACAGCAGTATCCTAGCCGGGCTGCATCGCAGCAGCGTAAAGTCGAACCGCAACCCAGCATGTCGCGTGTACAGCCAGACGCGCGTGTTGGACTGTCGAAACAAGTAGGTAGTCTGTCTATCGACGAATCTAATACGTCGATTAAAGAGCCGTCTTCTACGGACAGTAGCCGATCTGTGTTTGGTGCTCGACACCGTATCGAATATACCCTAGAGCCGTCTGATAATCACTCCCATTCTGGCAAAAATATAGTGGTTGCCGGGAGAGATTTGTCGATGTATGATACTAAAAAATCCGCTGCTTTGCAGAATCGTGGCAGACAGCGCGGAAACCAGTCGAACATCCGTTCTGCTAGTTATCAGCAGCGTAATGAGCCGAATAAATCGCAGGATACTAATCAGCCGGCTGAATCTCAGCAACCGCCGCCGCGCGAGAGTAATTCTCGCGATAACCGTGGTAATCGACGACCACGCCAGCCGATCATCGATCCTAATAGGATCTTGCGCGATGTAACGCAGTATACCAGCGACTTGGGTATTTATATACACAAGCTGGCTACCGTCGCCGATATAGCAAAGACGAACGCGCCGGAGATGTTGTACCTAAAGAAAATGATATATAATGCCGTCGCGTTGTTGGAAAAGACCGGATTAAGAGACCGGATGATGGAGTTTGACTACTCCACAGTCGATTTGTCGCGTTCGTTAGAGATCATTACTTACGCGCCAGCCCGCCGAAATAATTTACGAACCGTGCTGGATAAAAAACAGCTGTATATGCCGATTACAGCCGTTGATATTGAGATTATTTCTCAATTCAAGATTTATGGTGATCCGATAACCGAAAAGTTTCTGATGCAGTTTATACTGCCACAAGCCGATCCCGCGAAATTCTTCTTTTTCTGTAAAGTCGCTCATTTCCTGAATCAGGAATTAAACGAGCGGAATATTGACTGGGAGTCGATTCCTTACAATACTGGGCCGAAATTTGCCGCTATGAGTATCGCTGCCGCGTTACTTGGCAGTCATAGTGCGCATAAGTCGATTTATCAAAGTAAGGAACGAGCCGAATATTCCCAGCTGAAAGATTTGATTGAGCTATTGGGAAAGCCGCTTACTGAGCAGCAGGAAGCACAGGTGTTGAAAGATACCCTGGCTGCCGCCGGCCATGTCGAAATGGATACTGACGAAGCCGATCGTTTTTACGATGATGTTAATATCCGTATGAAACGATACGGAGATCGTAAGACGCAATTTGACAAGGGTCAGTTATACAAAAAACGCCCTTTGCCCGATTCGCCGGATGCTCCTACGGGAAGCAAAACCGTACAGCCGGAGTCGAAGTTCCGAAATACTCGGAAAAATCAGTCGGGAGAACTCACAACGCCGCAGTTGGGAGTGATGGGCGGAAAACAGCCTGTCAAGCCGACTCCTCCCGTTGCAAAGCCGATTATCATTCCTGTAGTCAAGCCGAATTTGCCATTAGCAAAATTCGGGTCTGCCCCGTCGTTGCTGGACACGACTACGGTCAAGTCCACAGGTACAAGTACCGAGCCGAATAGAAATAAAAATAATTTGCGATCGTCGAATACTAATAATGGCAATAATAAAGCCGCTAATAAAACGGGTGTTGCAGGGAAATCACAGCAGTTGCCAGCTGTGCCCGCACCTGTGCCGCCGATCTCAACCGTTCCGGTTGAGCAGCAACAAATAAGTGTTGCACAGCCGACTTCAGTAGAAGTGCCGAGTGTTCCAGTGGAAGAGCAGTCAGCGAGTACTGCAATGCCGCCACAAGTAAATACCGTACTTGTCTATCCGCCGACGCGTGAGACCTTCGAAGAAAAGGAACTTGCGAAATTGCCGTTATCCCGTATGAATAAAACCGAACGTGAATTTTATGTCACGACGCAGTCGTATCAAGATCACGCTGAACCGTCGTCGAATGAGTATGTTGAAAACATGCTCGTTGAATTAAGAAAGAAGTCGCTTAGACAAATGACCGATCCGGAATATATGTTTTTCATTCGGTATGAAAATCCGGAGCGATTACCTGCTTGGACGGGTAGATCGCCAGAAAAGCCGATTGCGCCGCAAGGCGATGACGCCGATGTTTTCCACGAGACAGTGGAAGAGTTGCCGGTGCGACCAGCATTTTCTGAGGTACTTGGCGAGGCATTGAATGCAGTCGCCGCAGCCGAATCTGTTCCTGACACTGCCGGCGCTGACGCTGACGTTGATATGCTGCCGGATGCGGGTGCGGATAAAGCTGCTGAATAAAGTCGTCAATGGAGGATAAAGCAAGCCTCCGGAATGGAACGCATCATACGGAATGGATCTCATAATTTTCGCTATATTTTTATGATTTTGTGATTGTTAATCATAGTATATGCCGCCAATTTGGTCGCATTTTGCTCATAAATTGCTCACTGTTTGTTTTGCGATTGTGGTAGCCTCGGGGGGCCTCGGCCGTTCCGCCCCGTGGCATGCTAGGCGATCGGTGCCACCGCCCAGGATAGTGGTTACGTTTGGGCGTTTGGGGCAGCACCGATTCTGCCGTGTTGGATCGTGTTGCCTTTGGCAGTTGGTTTTTTTGCACGCTTCCAAATCTGGAATAAATTCCAGATTTGTTCCATTGTCGCCTTGTGGTTGTCTTTGCCGCCGTATTTCCTCTCTGGAATACAGCGTTTTCATTCGGGCTTCATGCCTTTATTGTTTCTCTTTGCTACACAATAAAGATCATTTTGGTTGTGGCCGCGTATGGGCACATTTCTGTGTGGCAGTCGCAGGCCACTTTCACCAGTTTAATTACTCGTATACTGCGTTTGGCGTGTGTGAGTGCAACCTGCGAGCCATAACCATGAGGAAACCAGGCGAAAACCCTAACTGTTATTATGAAAGTTTATCATTGGTATTGCAACACGATTTCCATCTTTGTGTTTATATATGAAATTGGACAAATATCAGGCTCAATCAAAAGACTTCTGTAAAACTTTAGTCTATCGATAATAGCGTCTGGAAGATGCTGTCGTGGGGACCCGGTGCGACGCCGTGGATAATGGTCCACTTGTCGTGCTGCTCTCACTCTTCACCGGCAGTCGAAACATCAACCGCAATCCATCCCAGAACTTCCCCAACCGCACGGCATACAGAAAACAGTTGGCCGTCCCCACGCCGTGGAACAGCAGCAGCGACAGCATATACCAAATATGCGGCAACTGCGGTCCCAGGTTAACCAACATAATCACACCAAAGGGCAAAATTAGCAACAAATACGCGACATAGGTCTTGAACAAGGACTTTACGATCCGAATATCCTTTCTAAAGAACTTCCCCGGTTTCCCGGTCAGCACCCGGATACGGCTCATCCGCACCTGCCGGTAGATACCGTAATAGGCGATAAAGGTTAATATGGCCGGGAAAAATATGGTGCATGTTATGAGAAAGAGGGTGTAGCGATAATGATCGGTGGCGAAGGTGCAGACGAAGAGGATATCGGAGAAGCCGAGCGAGCCCCATCCAACGTCTACGTGATTGGGCACAGTAACTCCAAACATCACGATCCAAACAATCAGACACATAAGGAGCACGCTTCCCCGGGTGTATACGCGGGGATATAGATTGGGATGGCGTATCAGAATGTACCTAGAAAACCCAAACTTACTAAAATAATCAAGGTTCTTGCGATAGTTTGATAACTGTGGCTGAGAGAATCTCCTACCGGTTAATGGCAATTAGCAGAGTGTTCCAGTGGGTAGCGATACAGCTGGCAGAGCACAGTTGAGCAATCACTACATTAAACGGGAATAAGAACGTATATTAAATAACTGGATAAGTATAGCTGGGTGATAACCGAAACAATGCACACGTTCGTAATTGCAGGGTAATTAAGCATTACCTTTACATAGAAATGGATGATTTGTAAACCAAATTTTCCCCAGAACAACACCTACACATAAAGACGTTAAGGTAGGACCTCGATTAACCTCTAAAAGCCGCACATGACCGAGAACATTTTGCCGACATTATTATTATGCTATGACAAAACTCGCAGTTAAAAGGTGTTTACAGAAAAGGTGGCTTTTAATGTTGTTTAGCCAACTACCGTACATCTGTGTCAGTGTTTCTTTAGTTTTGATCTCTTTATATAAGACGACTGGCTTACCAACGAGAGACGATGGTTGAGTGACGAACGATATAATGAAGTCCGCCAAAGCCAAGTTGACGACGAAGGCGTTCTCGATTGTGCGTAAAAAGGACGTACAGACAATGACGAGTATAATCTGTAAAATTTCAACTTGACCAAATCGCAAAGTAATGGCAAAAAAAATAATTTACAGTACGGTAGGGCAGCATTTCAGCTAGAATTACAGTATAAAAGCCTTACGATAAAATTTGCAGCTGTCCCCAATATGCTCTCAAATGCCAGAAGTGCACAAAAGAATATTTTCTGTCCGGAATCGATATAATCAGCAATAACAGTCGTATCTGAAGCGGTACCATTGGAAGGCGTAGTTTGTATGGAGATGTTCATTTTGCGCCCGGTCAATAAACCACAATAGGTTATGTTTGTATACTGTATATCAGACACTATAGAGCAGGCCGATGCAACAAGCGCAGAATGCAACAGAATGATATCTTCTGTAGCGCAATAGCAAGGCAAGAATGTTGTTTTCAGTCGCTGTCATACGGTTTCATAGCGCGCTCTGTGACAGCCATCATCTTAAGGTCACACAATGTAGCTCCACTATATTTTTCTCAAAGTCGAAGTGCCAGTGTATGACTGGCCAAATAACAGCAGCATACTCAGCAGTCTGCATCCCTCAATCCAGAACAACAAAATCTGCGCTAATGAACAAAGTTGGCTGTTCTCGAGATCTTCATTAATAAGACATTGTGGAGGCTGTCTCGTATTCCATGAATGCAGCATGAATATGCATTATCCCCTCTAATGCTATCTTTCTTAGTAGTGATTCCGTCAATTAAAGGTCAAGCCGGTGATACGCTGCAAGCATTTCCTGTGGTGTCATTATGATTTGCGCAAGCATAATCGGATTTTTCCCGCGGTGGCCATTAAAAGCGAATTAGCGACTGCAGCTGTGCGATTATGAAACGCCAGTATGAATCCGTGACTGTATTTTGATTGAAGAATTGTCCATTAAGTAAAAAATGGATTTTAATAAAAGGATCAGTGAAACCCCGAAAAGGTATTAAACCGTGCGTACCTCGCCTACAGAAGTAGTAATCATTACAACGCGCTAATCTACAGTCTGTTTCAACGCTAAACTGTTTTAAGCAAAGTATCCGCCGTATTCAATGAACGGTTTTGAGCACTGCTCCGTCACATGAGGCTGCGTATCTAGAACAAAATATCCATTTAGTGCGTGCCGACTTTGTTGAATGATGTATGCTACCCCGCAGCATGACATAGCAAGACTAAAGGTCGAAGCACACCCGTTTTTTCCTGTATGTCATTGCACTGAGACGCTGTATTGGAAAGTAATCCCGAATCCCGATTACCTCAGATTTTTCCGCAAGATTATTAAATTATTAACTGCATACGCAAAAGCGATCCTGCGAACAACAAAAGCCATATTTAGTGGGGGTGTGTGATTTCGACATAGGTACAGCTTTTTAATTATTAAGTCGGCTTTTCTAGGCATGCCTTTCGTGGTATAACCAGATTAACACGTTCGATTATTGTTCTCTTATTGATACAGGGCTTGCAGAAACCGTTATCCCCAGAACTTTATTGAAAATTTAATGGGAAATACATAAGAAATGTTTTTAGTGGCGTATTAGCTTTGCTTGCTCTTGTTTGCTTGTTCTGTAGGATTGCGGTCGCTGGCGCATTCGGTTTACAGGAATTTTAGCTGTGTAAATCGGGTGCAACACCACGTACAAGCATATAAGCATTGCGTCGGCACCGGTATACAGTTTATTCAATTTTTTTATCCTGGATGGGCGCTTCCACGTGGCCAGCATGGAAAAGTAGTATAAAGAGTGGGAGGGATATCTTGTTTCCTTAAACACTTACGTAAAATTAGCCTTCCATCAAGGAAAGTAGTGAATGCGGTGCGAGCGGTGACCTCAATTTTTTTTTTTTAAACCTATAAGTTTTTGAATATGTGGGCGAGCTGCAGAAAAATGGAAGCGAACAAAGAGCTAATTATTAATGCATTTTTTAGTTATTAATGTACTCAACTGGCAAGAAATCTGCAAATTTCAGTTCCCAGCCCCATGTTTGCTTGAAGTTGAACTGCGTAACTCGCGTTTCCGCCACTCTGCTATCTAGCCAACAAGTTAACCAAATAGTTGATGCAGTTAGCTTAACTTTAGATCATGGTAAATGACTGTGGGCTACTGTAATGACTATGACTAATTAACAGTGGGTGTTTTTGTGTCGAGAACAGAACTGAGTACATTTGCCCAGTTGTATCGTAAAAAATGCAATAAAACTGATCAAGCAAGAAAAAAACCAGTTTAGATGAAAAAACTGATGAGTGCTGACAGCATATGGCATAGCATTAGCGTTTCAGGGATGCGGTTTTTTGAGACCGTTGCGACGTGTTGGACATTTGTCCACTTGTCCCGCTGCCATCGCTCTTCATCGGCAATCGAAGCATCAGCCGCAATCCATCCCAGAACTTCCCCAGTCGCGCCGCATACACGAAGCAGTTGGCCGTTCCCACACCATGATACAAGAGCAGCGTTAACATGTACCAAATATGCGGCAACCGCGGTCCCATGCCCAGCACCATGACCACCCCAAACGGCAACACCAGTAGCAAATATACGACATACGCCTTGAACAGCGACTTAGCAACCAGAACACTTTTCTTTAAGGACTTTCCCGGCCGCCCGGTCAGCACGCGGATGCGGCTCATCCGGACCTGCCGATAGATACCGTAATAGGCGCTAAAGGTCACCACGGCCGGGAAAAACAAACTGCCGGCCATGATAAAGAGAGTGTAGGGATAATGATCGGCGGCGAATGTGCAGACGAAGAGTGTGTCGGAGAAGCCGAGTGTGCCCCAGCCGACGTCAATGTGATTGGGCAAACTAATTAGGAGCATCACGCCCCAAACCGTCACACACATGAGGAACACGTTTCCGCGGGTGTAAACACGGGGGTATAATTGGGGATGGCAAATAAGGATGTATCTGGAAAATTAGCCATTTTGTGTGATATTGTGATACTTCTACCGGCAGGCATCTTACCGGTTAATGGCAATCAGCAAGGTATTCCAGTTTGTGGCTTGACAGCTGGCTAAGCAAAGCTGAGCAATTACTACAGAAGAAATACAGATAATTGGGCTATTATTGCGGTGCTTCAACGTTCTTTAATTTGCCAGATTGCTCAAAACGCGTTGGAAATGCGCGGAATTATGTACTACACTCATTTCGTGAACCATCTATGCTTTTGCAGTCCAACTTTTAAACTTTCAACACACAAGATATCTTGTTAAATTAAATAAGATACATTGTTAAACAAGTTACATTGTAAAAGGCATATGCATACCTTTACAGAGAAGCGGATGATTTGTGAACCAGATTTTCCCGAAAAGAACACCTGCGTACACATAATTTCTATATGCACCGGCGATAAAACGCTAATGCCAAATCTTGCATGCAAATGTGTTAGGCAAAAAAACAGCATCCGGTAATGTGGCTTATTGTTTCTGTCATTATTTTATTTTCGCAATATTATTTCCATAAGCCAGAATTGCTTACCAACGAGCGACGACGGTTGAGTGACGAACGATATAAGAAAATCCGCAAATGCCAAGTTGACAACAAAAGCGTTCTCGAGTGTACGCAGAAAGGCCGTACAGACAATAACGAGTATGATCTGCAAATCGGAACTTATGTAAAATTTGCAATGTTGAACTAGGTTGGTGAAGAATGCGACAATATATAAAAAACTTACCATTAAATTGGCAGCTGTTCCGAATATACTCTCCAACGCCAGGAGAGCGCAGAAGAATAACTTCTGCCCTGAATCAATGTAATCAGCAGTGGCAGACCGATTTACCAGGGTACCATTGAATGTTGTGGCTTGTATAGAGATATTCATAGTCGTCCGACCGGTAGACAGATTATACAGGTATATCAAAACCCCGATACAACAATCAAGTAATTCAGCAGCAGTCAAGCCGATTAAAGGTCACCAATTAAAGTGACACTATGGTTTCCAATCGGTCAAGAAGCATGTCACTGCAGGCCTTATAACATCCGCTCCGCATCCAGCCCGCTACAATATCAGAACCGGAAAGAAGAACAATGGCGAGGGAATCATTATGCAGTCTCCGTCTCAGACTTAAAGAATGGCAATATGCATGTATTATCCGCAGTAAGTAATGCTTTCCGAGCAGTGATCCCGTGTGCCAAAGCTCAAGGTGGTATTACTCTGCAGGCATTTCCTTTAATGTCACTGCAATTTTCATAAGCATCATTGGAATATCCCCGTCTGTGCCACCGACTGCCAAGATCGTAGCCACTGCGCGTGGGCAATCAGAAAATGCTGGATAATATTTACGCCACAATATGATGAAAGTGGGAGACTCTTTTACTAATTTTGGCTTTCAAATTAGGGTTGCCACTAACCTAGAAAATTTATCTTTTAATTAGCAGGGGAGATATACGTAAAATCCTACATAAATCTTAAATCCGCTTTCCTCGCCCATCCTTTACGCTCATGGTGCACCACGAGCAACTCTCATATAACTCTTTCATAGAGTCGACTCTCGTGCACAAGCGACAAATTATCGTATGAGATTGTATTGTCAGAAGTCGTTTATACTTGCCGAGGCATCGCTCAGTATTCTTTGTTGATACAACCGAGAACGTTTTAGCGTGCCGGTGGCAGGAAATATTTTGTCGAAAGAACCTGACAAGCAATTATGTTCGTATTAGCATGAAAGATAGCATTTCATGGTTTTCTGTTTCACCGTTTACTTTTGGATGCGCGCTAATGCAATGAGAGTTTTGTTTTTTTCCCGCCTCATGTGAACTGGAATAAAGTTGCCGTTTAGTGCGAATGCTTTCGAGCATATTCAAGCGGATGATGTGCTATAGTCTGGCTTACACACATGATTAAAGTTCTATACGAGTACGTTTTTTTCTTCCGTTTAGACCAGGCAATTGATTCCTTCAGCTTCCTCCCTGAAATACGCTGTACGGCTGTAGGCAAAAAACTATTCCCCTGATTACCGGTGCATGAAAGTGGCAGCAAGATTATTTAATCATGCAGTAAGCTGTATACGGGGATTCCTCCGAAATACATATATCCTGTGGGTGTTTTACTGCTTGCTAATTATATAGATTAACCCGTTTAGGGTAAGAAGGCGGTTCCTCTAGAGTTCCAATGGTTCCACAAGTTCCATTGGTCCCAAAAACAGCATCGGTTCCATACGTTCCACTGGTTCCATAAGATCCACCAGTTCCATCCAGTCCAACTAAATACCTACGCTAGTATCCGATGAAATCACAACAGAAGTTCATGTTACGTCCCTTATGATACCAATGGAACGTATGGAACTCTACTGAAACCCATTGGAACGGTCGGAACCACTGCACATTTCTCATTGCGCCCTTTACGTGATACATGGAACCAATGGAACTCTATTGGAACCCATTGGAACGTATTAACAATGTTCCCTTTGGTTCCAACGAGTTCCAGTGGAGTTCCATAAGTTCCACTGGAATCAAAGAAAGGCGCAATGAGACGATTTACAGAAGTTCCAACAGTTCCAAAGGAGTTCCATAGGTTCCATTGGTATCACATAGCTGCAACAGCGCAATGAGACGATGTACAGACGATGACCACGACGAGATGATGTTCCAACGGTTCCAGTGGGATACAGTAGAGTTCCATAGGTTCCATTGGTACTACACGAGGGCGCAATAGGACATGTACAGATAGTAGTTCCAACAGTTCCAAAAGTTCCAACAGGTTCCAGTAGAGTTCCATAGGTTCCATTGGTACCATACAAGGGCGCAGTAAGGTGTACAGATAGCAGTTCCAACAGTTCCAACGGGTTCCAATAGAGCTTCATTGGTTCCATTGGTTCCATTGGTGTCTCTTTGAGGGTACAACGACTTTCTGTGTTTCGACTATAACGGCCGGTACAGGAAAACTATGTCTTTTTACCCTAAACGGGTTAAACTCTCTTTAATTAATTTACTCGTTGTTGACCTATCATTCATTAAGCAGCTTTATCGATCATCTCTGCTCCTGTACGCTCTAGAGTATGGTATTGTGAACCACACGTGCACGCCTGTACGGCTCCTCACAGCAGTGGACAGTACAGTAAATATGCAGCATAAACAAGTGTGATGGGATGTAAAATAAAAATGCAAACAACAATGCCAAACAAAAAGCGACAAAGCTTTGATGTAGGATTGATTGGAATGCTGTGTGTGCAGTGAGTCAAGTAGTTTGGAATCTTTGGATCGATAGTGGGAAAACAGGGAGGGAGACAACCGTACGGTTTCCATGCATAAAACCGAAAACCCACTTAAAAAAAATATTTGCAAAAACTGAGATTGGAAAATTTCGTTAAATTTCAAAAAACGTTTTACTGAACTTGCGGGAGAAATGGAAAGCATGAACATTTACTGTATAGCCTTGCGAAAAACTTTAAGTGGACACTGGACACTCTGTAACCATCCGAGTGCTATACGTTTTGCCATCTTTGACCCCGTGCACTATATATACCTTTTGCGCTTTAATCTGCGTCTCGGTGTACTACCGTATTCTAACACAGTTACACCTATTACTAGCCCAGCTGTACTTATTTTTGTATAATATCAAAATAAATGCGTGAATTTTGCGTATAGTATATCAACTGGACGACGACAACTTCCCTTCGAACAACAGTTTAGAGACAGAAACGGTTTAAATGGTTTGCCTAGGCCGAATCAGGGTTCATTGTCCAGAATGACCATACGTACGTGCTAATGGTGCTAATGTATCCGATCCAGCCGAAGTGCGAGTAAGACCATCAAATAAAGGTAAATTTTGTGTATAGGTCAATTTCCGATTCAAATTTGATAGTCAAAAATCGGAGCTGGAAAACTGATTAGGACGAAACATTTCCTAGAATTCTGGCTCCTGGTTGCCTGGCCAAGAGAAACTGGTATGGCGGTTTGAGGAGTTGTCCGGAGAGACAATGACAGTAGCTGATTTCATTGTGCAGTTGACTGTTTCTACAGCACGTCATAATCGCTTCGCCAGCAAAAAATGTCGGGTGCCCTGTTTACCAACACCGTTAAGGAACCATCCACATTCGAATACATGCGTGGTAGTTAAAAGGTAAATACAATATTCAAAAATATTGCGAAACTCAGAGAAAGCTGTCCCGTTCGCCCTCTAGCCCATGGTAGTTACGTTCATTAAATGGATTTCGAAGCGACGATAAGTGTTACTAGTTTGTACATGTCTGCAACATATAGCAGTTGTTCTGTAATCAGTAGTCTACATTTATCTTGTATGCAGTACGAATATTTTAAAGAAACATGTGCATATTTCAAGGAAACGTTATTTCAGAGAAGGCTGCCCGTACAAATAGCGTGTTTGCAATTTTTTCTTGGGACTTTTCCAATTAGAATCGCTGAATGCACATTTACAAATTTTTTTAAAACCTTAGTGTCAGTAATCTGCACATTCACGCAATAAATATGACACAAAACAGGCATAAAAAATTTAACTGTCAATGAGAAACATTTCTCAGGGAATAGATCGGCCGGACGTTTTCTGTGACCTTTGCGACGACGTGGACATCTGCCCGCTGGGCATAACGCCATTGTCCTTTCTCGGCAATTGAAACATCAACCGCAGTCCGTCCCAAAACTTGCCCAGTCGCGCCGCATACACGAAACAATTAGCTGTGCCCACACCGTGAAACAGCAGCAAACTCAACATGTACCAAATATGCGGCAGTCGCGGTCCCATCCCCAGTACCATGACAATTCCAAAGGGCAGCACCAAAAACAGATACACCACATACGCTTTAAACAGCGATTTGGCCGTCTTGATATTCTTGCGAAACGACACACCCGGCTGCCCGGTCAGGACGCGGTCCCGGCTGTCGCGCACGCGCCGATAGATCCCGTAATAAGAGCTAAAGGTCACGCTGGCCGGGAGGAAGAGGCTGGACGCCATGACAAACATGGTGTAGGGATAGTTATCCGCGGCAAAGGTGCACACGAACAGCGTGTCAGAGAAGCCGAACGAGCCCCAACCGACATGATTGGGCAGTCCGATGAGAAACATGAAGCCCCAGATGGTCAGGCACATGACAAACACGTTAAAGCGCTTGTACACGAGGGGATATAATCGCGGATGACAGATCAGGATGTACCTGGAGAATTGTAAATGTTTGCCAAGATTAGGCAATGGTTCGACAGGGTTTCCTCACCGGTTGACGGCGATCAACAAGGTGTTCCAGTTGGTGGCAAGACAGCTGGCCGAGCACAGTTGAGCAATAGCTACATCAACAGTAAAAGAATTACAGCAAACGCTTTTGCAGCTGTGCTAACATGACGGTTAAAGAAACCTTTCAATAAAGTTACGTAAAGTTAATTAACGATGGCTTTAATTTGCGCTACCTGTACATAGGACTGGATGTTTGGTGAACCAGGTTTTCCCAAGCACCACACCTACCGAAAATAAGACACAGCAGACGTTTAACAAACCGTTTTCTGGATTAGCTAAGCTCGAGTAATGTTGTTGTAAGACCGATCCTTTGTCGATATGTTTTTGTTCTGATATAATTATGCAGTTACGAAGGCGCTGCCCATTTCTGTTACTTTGTTGCCGGCAAAAATCCGAGTTATTATAGATTACGATTACGATCAAAGGACTTGGAACTGTAATGGTCGTTTTACTCACCGACAAGAGATGATGGTTGAGTAACGAATGAAATAAGGAAGTCCGCGAATGCTAAATTGACGACAAAGGCATTCTCCACTGTCCGCAAAAAGGTCGTGGAACCAATAACCAAAATTATCTGAAAAAATCCAAATATGCTTAACGCAGTGCAATAGGGTAGGTATGATAGTACAGTCTCACAATAAAGTTTGCAATCGTTCCAAAGAGACTTTCAAATGCCAGAAGGACGCAGAAGAACGCCCTTTGGCCTGGATCAATTGTATCGAGTGTATGCAGATAGGACCCATTGGAAACACTACTGCCGTTATGCGCCATATCGCCAAACGTTTTCACTTCACCATCGGCTCAATATGAAAAACGCAAGGTGCAGAAAATTACACCTTGCTGAGAGAACACGTTATAGACGGAACATTTCCTCTTTGCAATGATGAAACTGCATTTATGTCGTCGGTTCTGGTGTCCCGAATCAACAGCTCCGAAAGGTCACCTCAAATCAGCTGTTAATGATGTTTTTCTCATTCATCCGCCCGTTGTGCGGCGGTGTATCATCAAGGTTTTACAAGACATTAATTAATACGTCTAACCTTGGTTTGAGGGAAAATAGTCCCCGGCTTAAATAAAACTGATCACGCCATCACCGGGAAATTTTCATTTCTTCATGTGGCAAAGAGATTAAAATCGCATCACTCCGAGAAGCTAATGCCTTTCCGGATACCGGCTAAGTTGACCAAGAAGCAAGCCGCATTAGATATATATGGCTTCTACGCGTATGACAAAGCCGTGTTTTATTATTGACGTAGAGAGGTGAGAAAAGATGATGTGCGAATGAGCGGCATCCTACTTAATTAACAATATGTATGTCAGAATTAATCCACTGATTTTTACCGGGACAAATTGGTTGATGTCCCATTACCATGGATGCTGCGGGCATTTTCCTTAACACCGACGTAACGCGCTAAAATCTTTCCTGTTTACTGTATGTATGCTTCAGCTGAAAACGCGCATAACCACGGTGCTAACGTAAACCGTGCGCGCATAAACGAAACAGTTTATTCCAGATTATTTATGGCCTAGTTCAAACGGGAAGGACAGACCCGAAGCAGTATTTTCTGCTTTGTCTTAAACCAGTTTCACGATTCGTTGTGCAAAATAGTTGAAAACGTCAGAATGTTCGCATTTTGAAGTGTACCGTGTAAGATGTTTTAAGATTTAAATTTTTCATTTACAGACAGCTTTGAATTTTAATGTACTCTCGTTGTTGTTTTCAACGGCCTAAGAAGGGTCATGAAGACTGCTACAGTTTTAAAAGTATCTAAAAATTTACCGAATTAGAGTAAACAAAAAATGGCCGCCTCATTTATGTGACAAAAGTGACAGGACCACTAAAAACTTACGACACCGAAATACAACTTCAAAACCATCACTAATTATTAAATTTGCATGTGATCGTACTACTGAAGCAGACCCACTCAGTTACATAAGCACATAAAATATATTCAAATCGGAAAATTACGCAAAAATCGGAAAATTTAAAACAAACATGCAGAACTTGCGAACAAGGTGTTCGCAATGCAACAATCAAAAACCCACGTAAATGATATAAAATAAAATAAATAAAGGCGCTGCAAATTACCGGGTGCGAATAAGAATACGTATTTTAATAATTTCTTAAAGCAGCGAGCCACCTTCTAATAGACGATGCCGGTACAAACATGCGACTATTAGTTGTGGCGCGCTTAACATCTTTCTCGACGTACTCCTTACGTATCGCAGAATACCGTAAGCATAACATTTTGTGCACTCTATAACTAGAGACGCGAAAATTACATAGCCCAGCGCATCGGCCTTAAATCATTCCTTTAACGATGGAAAATCCTAGCGTTATATCCCGCAGTCACTCATCATATAAAGGTCCATCCCCACCACACAGTTGCTGCGGATAGTAAGTTTTTTTTTTAAAAATGCTCGTTGTCTTTGTGGTGCTGCTGATGCGTTCTCTAACGCACGGCCTGTCACTGGCTCAAACCCAGCTGTACAACCGCTGCAATGCCACCTGTTCCGGTTTCGTCGGTGGGAAAAAGACACCGGTCGTGACCTTTTGTCAGTTGTGGGGTACTGACGGAATGCGGGTGGATCCGGCCATTGAGATGAGCATTCGGACACTGCGTGCGGATTTCGAAGACCGTGTGGATTTCCAGTGGGTTAAAGCAATGTTGCCTGGTTCGTGCGACGACGAGACCGTGCGAGAAACGTCACCGGCGGCCGTTAATTTGCACCTGGTGGAGAGCAAAAATGGATGCAGTATTTTTTTGGGACCGGGTGAGTTAATGCCGTTAATAAATGCTCTTTTTAATTTCTCAACCAAATCAAAAGCTCAACCATCTGCAGTGTGACTCGAACGTTGCATTCGTAAATTGCACGCAACAGCGAATACTTTAAACGAAATGATATCTGTACAACATGATCTAAATTATTAATTAAGACATGGACTATCCTGGTACCGGTACAACAGCCAGTATTATATTATATAAGAAACGATGAGATATTCCTGTCAGTTTTAGTAAGAAGATAAAATCATCCTTAAAACAATAACTGAAAATTAAACGGACATATTATCTGGATAGAAGCACGAGTAGATTGATTGAACTAAATTATTACTAAAATTAATTTATATAATTCAGTTTTAACATGAAAAATTGTGCTTAAAATTTCTGCATTCAGAATGCTGTAGACTGCATAATGGCACGGAAATTAAAGATGTCTCTCCTAGGATGTAGTAAAGCTGTGGAACAAATCCGTGGTTTGGTCAAAGAATGGAATGTACCGCTTGTAACCACCCAGGCCACGTCGATCACCCACGAGCAGATGGCCAGCAGCAAGATGATCACGCGGCTGGGATTTACGCAGGATGCTGTCGTCATGTTCGTCGTGTCCGTGTTGAATTATTTTAAATGGATTAACGTTGCTGTGGTAAGTAGCCGGCTGATGACTTGTTCGGAAAAAGTCCATGACGCAGAAATCTTTTGGTTATCTGCAATGTAACGCGTTACGCTGGAAAGTCACATCATTTTGAATCTCAATTTATCCGCTCAAGAATTTCAAGGATATGCATAGTGGCGGCTTTAATAGAGTTAACCACAACTATGAAATGCAGGCGAATGCTAAGCCTATTAGTAACCAGTAACAGGGTTACTACGTAGTAATCGACAATCCTCACGCAAATTAGACATCAAGGATTAACCCACGCTATCCGCCCGAATTCACAAGAAATCTACGTACTTTGAAAGAAAACTACGTATTTTAACCTTTGAATGCTTAACCGGATTGAATTATAATCAAAATAATAATTTAACCGAAGCTCTATTTGGCGCCGTTTTTTAGAAGAACATGCAGACCTAGAGCAGTAAGCTGGTCGATGCTAGCGTCACGGAATGTTTTGCTCACACGATTTACTATAACTGTACTGTGCACGTCAAAGCATTAGAGGTAAATGCTTCATCGCGCATGGTACAGCGTAGTGAAAATTGAACTGCTTCGGTGCAGTGTTTAAAAAACTATTTTAAGCAGTTTGCAGAGCACATAGATTGCTGGGCCGTAGACGTACAAATACTGTATACAGTATTTGTAGATTTACGGCCGATTTGTTGTTAAACAGCTTTTACAGAGGCGCGAAAAGATTTGTTTTTAAAGCACCAGTTTTGGCGACTTTTTGTATTGTATTAAAAGGTCACAAAATCCCTTAATGCATTAGATACAATGATGCATAATCACATAGCAAAATGCGTACATGGATTTTATGACTGCAGTACATGGGTTTTACATGGATTTACATGGATTCTATGTATTACACAAAGTGCCAATCTTGTTATTTTTACTTCCGATCAACAGAACGTTTCTAAAAAAACAGCAACAGTTTATGCAAAGAACGTCGAATCATATCCAGTTTGAAGATCGCGAACAAATTAAAATTTTTCCCACAACAGCGCAGTACTTTTTTCCAGATTTATGACAGCGACACCGACTCGGTGGAATTCGGGCGGACTTTCGAGACCTACGTATTTGACAATCAGTCCGGAAGCGGTAATTCTGAAAAGAAAGATGACGATGTCAGCGCACGTATGTTTCCCTTATCAGCCAAATTAGCCCGGGAAGATTACCGGAATATCCTCACCCGGGCTAGCACGACAGCCAGAGGTAGAAGCTGCTGATTGATGTTTGCGCAACCGCTAATAATACATAACTCAGCCATCGGTTTCGCGCTAAATTGTTTTGTTGTGACATTTACAGTGATTGTAATTGCCGCCTTATCCAACATCACGCGCGATATAATGGTATAGATTAGGTGCTAAATGCGAAAGGTCACGGGATTAATCTGGTTGTCTTAATTAGCTAACGGCGCAGGATCTGGGAATGGCCAATGGGGACTATGTAAGGGATTAATTAGAAAGGTCACGCGCGTAATATACGGTAATTTTGCCGATTAGGGAAGGGCTGCTTAAATTTAGGTTTACATTACGGCGGATCTCTACTATGCTAGCGGGCAGACCGGCTCGCTGTCCTTCGCGTCAGGCAGCGGCGCGGATGCAGGTGATTTGCGACTATTTGATCAGCACCGCATGGATCATTTCAAGAAGTCGGATGCGGAAATTAGCCGGGTAAGATGTGTTATTTGACGTGCCTGTGAAGGAATTGATTGGCATACCTTACTAGGACATCAAAACTGCTTTCCAGTCGTTATTGGTAGTACAGCTGAAAGCGCCGGAGAGTGCCGAATACCGGCGCTATGAAACGGCGGTGCAGGAGCTGTCCAGAACGCAGTATGGATATACTTACCCAAAAGACTCGCGGGTACCACAATCAACACACAATCAAGTGTTTTCAAACCTAAATTTTTGCTGTTTCGCCTGCTTTATTGTAGCATCTTAATGCAAGTTAAAATAAAAAATAAAAACATTAACTGTACAGTGTTTGTATTATTAGTTAAAATAATAACTAGTTGTAACTAGAGAAATTTGATATACGGACTACGGTTATATATGAAATTATAGTAAAAATTCTGATTGTGTAGGTTCTGCTTGCGCTGTAACGCAATCTCCAAATAATCTGTTTGATAATCCTGAAATTCTGAAATATACGGGTATAATCGGCCCATAAATACTGCGTAATTTGGACATTTTTTAGTGTAGTTTTTTCAGTTTAATAGTCTCACAGTTTGATCTTCCCTCATACCAACAAACACAAAGTTGAAATTACAGCGCTTACTGAAAAGGTCATACAATTTTCGCAAGCCAATATCATATTACATATGCCTCTGCTATGAAGGTTCCACCATCAGTTATGGGATTTTTCGATGGAGTTCGCTTATACGGCTTGGTATGATAACATCACACTGCTCAAACTTTCCCAGTTTTTGGCTCTTAATTGTGGTGCGATAGCAGATACTGAACGAGACCCTGCGAAAAGGTCAGAGCAGCACCGACGGCCTGGCGCTCACGCAGCGCATGTGGAACACCACATTTCGCAGCATGGGCACGGAGATTGTCATCAGCGCCAAAGGTGATCGCATCTATGATTTCAACCTGCTGAATTTCGACCGGGCTTCCGAGCAGTTTGTGGTATGAATCGTGCAGCAACAGTTGGTGCAAGATTTGTACTGAAGCGTTCGAACATATGTGGTTTCTATTAGCCATTCCTGCAATTCACCGCTGCTAATAAGAGTTTCACGCTCCTCCGCAAAATTCAATGGGTCAACGACCAATCCTTCCCGCCGCCGAATGTGCCGCCGTGCGGATTCGACGGCCGTTCTGGTCCGTGCGTCAATCGCAACGCGGCAAATCAAGGTCAGCGGATATTTGAATTATGTACAATAATTCAACGGCAAACGGCAGTTGTTACCATTATGATGCAATCAATTAATTTGCAGCCCAGCTGAGAATTTTTGCAGGTGGACTCTCCACGGCGGCGGTGGCGCTGATTGTGGCCTTCTCCGCTGTCGGATTGGTTCTCATTGGTGGAACGATCTCACACTTGTCCGTAGAACAAATAAATTGGCTTCTTCAGTTTAAATTTATTAATTTATGAATAAAAAATTTGTTTCTGGAAGCAGTGTGCAAAAGCGCCAGAAGCGAAGGGACAAGGGCGACTGGTGGCGAGTAGACTTCAATGCCATCGAGTGCCTAAAGAATGCCGGTAGTTCACTTCTCAGCGGCAGTACGACCCGAGTCAGCAGCCGGGTACGTAGCCGTTTAGAACTTCACACTGCGGCAAATATCCCATCATCAAATTATTTAATTTGTAGGCGACATCCGCAGGAACATCCAACGTCCGATTAAGATCATACATTGAGAACGGTCAATATCTGGACACTACCGTAGCGATAAAGCGAATCACTCGCGCTTTTCTCGTGACGCAGGATAACGAAAAGGAACTGCAAAACGTAAACACTCGTGTACAATTTAATACTGTGATGTTACCGTGTTTAATGAAATAAAAATTGTTATATTTAATAATCTATAAATTTTACGGCGCTATCAGCTATAAACCCTTTGAACCGCTATAATTAAGTAAGTGCATATAACTCGCCATGGTTTATACAGAACTGATTAACGAATTAAACCGTGTCTTTGCAGTTGCGCAGCGTGATCCATCCGCATATTATCCGCTTCGTGGGTTTGTGCATGAATCCCGCTAACGAGTGTATGTTGTACGAGTACTGCGAGAAGGGAAGCCTGACTGATATCCTGGAGAAGGACACGTTGGCCAGTGACTGGGAGTATCGCTACTCATTCCTTTACGAAATTATAGAAGTAAATAATTAGTTAACGACTTAGAGAGTTCGGATAGTCGTCATAAAGTAATAAAGTAACATAAAGTAAAAACTGTCTCACAGGTGCAAATGCAAATGGGCAGGTAATTAAAAGGGCAAATGCGCAACTACATATTATGATAAGTACATATGTAACTGTCACAAAAGCTCTAGTGTAGTTTATAATTATTACCATGTACCTATGTACGGTACATGCGAAGATTTTTTACCTTTAACATGCGAAACGAATATCGCTACAGAACGTTAACCGAAACGCATGTGTAATGGTCGTCCGCCTAGTCAGTAACATATGACCTTTATCTGATCTACGCGCCTTTTCATATGATATCTTCACTGCTGCATTGTATGCACAGCAAAACATCAGTTTTTGTGGATCTTGGATTTCCTGTTCTTCTTATAGATCATATGTACATACTTGCATATTACAGATGTAAAAGCGATTTGGCTTGAGCTGTTAATTTGCTTTACATAGGGCATGATCTACTTGCACAACTCGGTATTTAAATCGCACGGCCGTCTGAAAAGCAGCAACGTGCTGATCCAAGGCCGGTTGGCGGTGAAGATTACGGACATTGGTCTTTGGAATTTGCGCACGCCGTACCCGGCATTCTTGGATCCACAGGCGACGGACGAGGAAGTCCGGCCTCTGCTCTGGGTGGCGCCGGAACATCTGCGCAGCAGTATCCCGCTGCATGGCACTCCCAAGGGCGATGTCTACAGTTTCGCCATTGTCCTCATCCAACTGGTCACCTGGACGGAGCCCTATGAGTCGCAACTGACGCCTAACGGATCTGTTAAATGTGCGGTAGTACTGCTTAAACTTTTTTACTATAGACTACTGGGTAAAGGTCAAACAGCGTCTATCGTGCTGAAGAGACAATTAAAAGGTCACGCAGAAATAATGGCGCGCAATATATAGTAAAAAAATCGTACAGTTAAAACAAATTTCTAACAAATAAATTAAAAAAAATGAATCTAATATTGCGCAAAAGGTACAGGAAATTAATTTTAATATTATTGAAAAAGAAGCAAGTTCTAAGAAATTTATCGATTACAGCGCTTTCCTGTTAATGTTGTAATTAAACGTTCAGCATTGTTAGATGTGGTGAAGGAAGTGCGCAAAGGTGACACACCGCCCTACCGTCCGCTGGTTCCTTACAACGCCTGCGATCCACTCCTGTTGAAGATCATGGAGGACTGCTGGTCGGAGAATCCCCAGGAACGTCCGACGTTTGCGCAGATCAAAGAGCGAGCCAAGCCGCTAATTAAAAGCCATTCCGGCAATCTGATGGATAATATGATTAAGAGGATGGAAAAGTATGCCGCACAGTTGGAAGCCACGGTAAATGAGCGGACGGCGGCGTTTATTGAGGAGAAGAAGAAAACGGAAGAACTACTCAACCAGATACTGCCCAAGTAAAACTTTTCCGCTAAATGATTACCGTTTCTTATATTTAATTAATTTTTATTTATCAATTAGGATTGTGGCAGAAAAACTGAAATCCGGTGAACGGATTGAACCGGAAACCTTCAGCAGCGTCACCATATATCACAGGTAAATCGTAAGCAGTTTCCCTTACTTCTACCTAATGTTGAGGAGTCAGTTCCAATGTATTTTTAATCTTTTAAATTCGTCTAAATCAAGGTAAATCAAATTACCATGTATATCGAGAACATATTTATATACACATTTAATTTATTTTAGTGACATTGTGGGATTTACGCGGTTGAGTTCGAGCAGCACCGCGGTGCAAGTTGTGGATCTTCTTAATGACCTTTACAGTAAGCAGGCCTACATTAGTTAGATTCATTTGGGAATATCCATATTTGTGTCTGCTTGTAGTTTTGTTCGACAGCATAATAGAAGGTTTTGACGCCTACAAAATTGAAACAATTGGCGACGCTTACGTTGTACGTATAACTGATGCGTACGTGAAATATTCATACGCTTCGTGGCATCCAGTAAAACGACTGTTGCCGGTATCGCAGGTTGCCAGCGGACTTCCGGTACGCAACGGTGATAAGCATGCTATGGAACTGGCAAAGATGTCGCTAAAGGTCATCCGTTCATTGCGCCGCTTTCGCATACGTCACGATCCTACGTCACATCTAAATGTCAGAATTGGCCTGCACACCGGTAAAGCCTTATTATAATTACGGGGAACAATTTCTTAACCGCGTAGTGCTGTACTTTGTAAGTGTGTTGTGTTATTAAAATGCCCAGTAAAGCTGAAAAATTACGAGACTGGCTTCAAACTGAGATACCGATGAAATGCGAATAAGAACGTCGCGAGCAAGTTTTCTGTACACAGTTTCCAGTCCAGATCTGATTATTTTATGCGCTAGTCACAATACGCCAATTAAATTTCATATAGACTGCTGAATTATGGAGTGGTAGTATTATTTAGCACTTCGTGACGGCTAATGCGAAACATCTCCGATTTGTTCCTCAAAATGTTAATTTTTCTACTTTTAGGGCCATGTGCAGCAGGCGTGGTGGGTCTAAAGATGCCCCGATACTGCATGTAAGATATTTAAGAATGAAATGCTTACATAAAATAAGAACTGTTCAAAGCTTTTGCGGCTCCCCGTACGTGGTCAATAAAATATGAAATAAACTACGAACACCGTCCAGCGGTTTTGCAGTGGATATAAAAACTATAGAACGTGTACAAATGATGGCAATGATATCAGGGCACCATCAAAAGCAAGCCGTTTCACTACAACAACTCTCCAGTAGCTCAACGCTCATGTACAATTGTACAATTGCAAATACGATACATCTCGAAATTTTTTGACAAAGACTTACAAAATTTTAGTTTTGGGGATACGACGCTAATCGCCGGAAAAATGGAAGCCACCAGTGAACGTAAGTAATACTTACTATTTACTGCATTTTCCTATTATTACTGTACGAGTGCGACAAATGCTGTACCGAATTACGCCGTAGACTATAGTATAGGGGGGAACCTCTACGTGACGTACAGTGGCGTACACCTCAGCGTTGTGTACACGTACACTTTTCTTGTGTACCGCATATTTAGCATTTAACTGTACGCAGGAACCTCGTGAATGCGTACACCGTTGTTTCAGAACTGAATTTTTTAAACTTTCTTATGGGGAAATCAAAAGATTTAAAGCAAACTTACAGGAAATCGTTAGATTATCGTATCTTGAGTTATGTTTTTACAATCTTTGCTGCTAAAAGTGTGCAAGAGAGTTGTTCTCGTCTGTTTACATGCATATGCAAACTGATGTAATTTTAAGGAAGCAATTAGAGCACGTGCATTTCTAAGGTTTATGCGGTGCACACTGCACATATGTATAATACTCAGCATTCTGTAGTGGGACAGTGCCCCTGAGTGTGCAGTCACCCCCAGGGGGGCTGGGGCTAGTTAATCTGAATTCCGTACACCCCTGAATTACGTACGAAATTTTCCGTACGGAGGTGTACGTATTTCAGAGGTTTCACTGTACTGTATTAACAGCGCTATTATTTGCACGCCACTAACATTAATTTCCTTACTATAATATAGAAGTACTTACTTACATACTATTTACATACTGTAAAAATTTAATAAATAAGGTGTGGCGTATGTCGACATCGGCTTCAGCGCTAGCAAGTAAAAAAATGATATTATGACCTGCAAACGACAATGCACCAAATGAAAGAATATTCAATATATCGGCTTTCTCTTTATTCACCATTAAATCATCCATTCATTCAGCCTACTGTACCAACGTTTTATCTGCATAGAAGCATCTGTAGCACAAAACATAGATATTATATCTTTAATATTTTCGTCAAAAATCAATTTATCAACGCTTTATTTCGAATATAATTAGCTACGCAGAACATTTGTAAAAATTCTGAGCTGAGATTACATGTATAGCGATGAAGATACACCTGAGCGCCACAACGTACACCCTACTGCACAGCGACAATTCCACCGATTTAATTATGGAGCCGCATGGCGAAATGGAACTTCCGGTAAGAAACGTCAAACATCATTACCCTCGTGTAAGAATCAACCGTTTTTTGTTTTGTAGAGCAAAGGCGTAATTAAAACCTACTGGCTGCTGGGATCTACCGAATGAGCAACACCGTTCAAACAGTGGGAATTTATTCAACGCCGCCCGGAATAAAAAAACAAACAAAATGTTCTGCTTATTATACTTCAGAATGATCTGGCAAACCGAATGAATAAAAATCGGCAATAAAATTAATTTGACAATCGCTCGTGTTGCTATTTTACGACAAAAATGGAAAGAGCTTGCACGCTGTATAAGTTACGACACACTAATAATTAACCAAAAACGCTACGGATCTAAAATACAAGGAGACACCATAGACATAAATAAAAGAAAGCACTACTGCAGATGAAAAACTGCATACCTTGCAATGCATTGTATGCACGCATCAACAATCAACATGAAACACAAACAGATATTGAGTGTTATGGCGAAGTGGGCTTCTCGGCCTGGCTGTGAGATCGGCGTTCTCGGGAATCACGTCTCGAAGACCTGTTCATATACAGTGAAATAAAAATCTGCAGTGTTTGAATATTTCCGAATTGTGCAATTCCACGTACTGTAATTTTTATTTAATTTTCACATTACTGGCTTTAGCATAAAATTCTTTTGTGTTTTAGCATAATTGTTCTGTCGTAATTTGTAGTGAAAGGTTTCTTGAAATCTGTTCTGTCTGAACAGATACAGGAATAACATTTTCCTTATGCTAACTCACTGTCACTAATCAAAACAAAAAACTTCATACAGTACTAAGAAAGCTTTTAAAAGTCAAAAAAAATTTTAAGCATTACAAAACACACGCCAAGAAAAATCTTGAATATATACGTACTTGGAAGATCGGCGATCACTGTCACGTTGACGATCACGACTGCGACTGCGGCTCCGTCTAAAAAAACATTGTACAATAATTCAAACCAGATTAACACAGCCACTTCCTACAGTACATTAGCAAAACAGAATAACAGCAATTTTCAACACAAACACCTAGCTAGACATGCTGGCTAAGATAAAATCTACAAATACTTGAAAATCGCGAGAACTAACGATGAAAACAAATACACCAAAATATTTTCTTCTGCATGCCCGAAGCAGTTGTTTGCTTACTCGTTAACATAAAATTACACAAGCGGGGAAAACGTACAAATCTCAATGATATATTATTAGGCATAGCATAACTGTTAGAAAAGACCTGATTATAAGGGATAAATGTACGAAAAGATTTCTGAAAATTGTAGTTATCGTATACGTTCCAGCTAGCCAAGATGAATGGTATTTATATACCAAATTATTAATTATTTTATTTTTGTGTTACGTTTGTCATAAACGAGATTGCATTTTGCGACACTCACCTCTTCCGGCGATCGTCACCGCGATCCCGATCGCGATCCCTATCCCGGTCGCGCCGATCACGGTCACGATCGCGATTACGGTCAGGACTGGAGCGCGCCTGGTTTTCTTCGCGCTCCTTCCTCCGTTTGGCCGCCTTCGCATCCACCAGTTTCTGCAATAAGAAGCCCGACATCTTCAGTCTCATTCACATAACAAACCGCAGCGAAGACGATATTACTGTAACAAATTCTGAGCTCCACATCAATTAAAACGTTCAAGATTTTCACGAATACCAGTATCCTCGTAAATATTCATGAAGTAGTATTTCGTCAAAATTCGCATTTCGTTTTCTCACAAATGCTTTTTTACTCAAACTTTCTTGTGGATGCGATAAATGACTAATGGTGTTCACAGTGCACACCAACTGCAGTATGCCCAATGACTTGAAAATAAACTATTCCACAACTACAATACATCAGTCGAATATTACGTATTCTTACTTATCAGTCGAATATTACGTAGTATTCAGTCGAATATTACGTATTTTTAATTCCGAAATATTCTGCTTGACCGATACTTGATAGAAAACGACACTGAAAAATGCCAGTGAACAAGTTATGGAAGCATACCTCCAAGAAGACCAGTTTATCACGCAGTTTGATAAATCCCAGATGCAGCTTTCCGCCAAAATGATCCGCTAAGCGCCGGTCGTTATCGTGAATGCCCAGGTACGCGCTGCAGATTTCGCACACCCGCAATTTCTGCTGCTGATATGTGGAGGCAGGCATGGCATTGCGGTAATCCATCTACATTTAAGCATCATATTTCAGTATAGGTCGTCCAATCAAAAACTCCAATGCACACAAGATTATGAGAACATTCTGCGTAAGTATGTAGGCACGTATTCTGCATTACCTCGGCTTTCTTCTTTTCCTCCTTGAGTTTCTCCACTTCAGTCATCAATTTCAACGACTCCTCCACATTTCCTTCCACACCTAATCGCTCAGCTTCCGCCAGTTTCTTACCGATCTGTTCGCCCACATCGTGAACCAGATTCGCCTATCCCATAACAACAACTTAACATACTCGAATAAACGTTATTTACACGTTGCACTAAACATTTATCAACTTCCGTTCGGGTATACAGAATACTTTACGGAGATCTATTGCCATACACTTTATCTGCAAAGAAATCCAAATCAGATGCGAGTATTATATAATATAAGCTCATATACAAAAAAAACCGACTAAAATACAATAATTTAATACATAAACAATTCTAGCGAACAGCGATACTTTCGGCGATAAAGCCACAGCAGAACACTCAAAAGATACGACCAAGGAATCCCAAAACGGAACCATCATCACAATGCCATCATTTGTGTTTTACATATTTCTACCGCCGTGAAGTTTATTTTAACGAAGATTCACTGTATATAATTCAGTACGTACAGGGAGAAGCAATGCGTAAATAAATACGCGTCAAAAAATGTAATTCTTACATATATTACCATTTACCAAGTAGTAATCTACCCGTAGTAATCAGAATTAAACAATTTCTGTTATTACTCATCATGCTCTGGAACGTTCGATCCAAATTACTATTACCAACCAGATATGCCAAAAACATACCTTGACTTCCACTTCTGTACTTAATTCTTCCTGGGTTTCCGCCAGATCCTTCTTGGATAGCTCAATACGCCGATCGACATCCCTGATAAAACTCCGCAATTCCGATAACGCCTGTAAAATCACAAAACGAAATAATAACCCAAAACAACAGCTACTTCCCCAAGATCGCTCCCAAAATCCTCAAAACAAAATATAAATACGAGCTCTTTTTACAAGGATTAACTGGGGAGGTCTCAGACTCTCAACTTACCAACCGGAAGTACAGCGCTGCCATTTATTCTGAGGCAAAATAAGTACACACTAAATTCCCTTTTATACTGTAAAGCAATCGCTGCAGGCGTGTGCACACCGGAACTCGTAATAAATGCTAAAATCTACGAGATTTCCCCTATTATAATGCAACAGAATCAATACGCAATCCTGCACAAAAAAACTACGCACCACAACCACGAGGGTTTGGGAAAGAAAACTCCACAGAGACAGATTGCAATCTTCCTCTTATTACAAGTCACTGCAAAATAACAAGGAACCCATTGCAATCGTCGTCTGACGGAAAACAGTCAACAGTGTCGTCCTCCACACACACAGATCCACAGGAAAATCTGGACGCCAGCAGTTTACAAAAAAAAATGAACTTATTGCTATACTCACATCGGCTTCGAAATTCCAATCGCGTCCATCGGCGCTATCCTTCTCGTAATCGGCCTTGGCGGCAAAATCGTGGATTCTTCGACACTTTCCGATGTCAAATCGCTGCAACACAAATCCAAGCCCACAATAAATCCCGTAAATATAATATGGAAGCATTTTAACTAAAACCAAGTAATTTTATAATAAAAAGTTTATTCAATTATTCATTGTACCATATCATCTAGAGTACTACAATACTTTAGGCATCTAGATTCTAGAATGTATTGCAGAATGGCTATAATTTGAAATTTTCGCTTGGTATTTGCTGTTTTCAGTGTTTTGTACAATACTTGTACAAGCACATGTACAAGCACAAAGTTGCACATGACATATTTGTGATATCAGCAAATCGCTAAAATGTAAATACTTATCAGTATATCTAAACGAAATTCAGCAAAACGATCAATAATGCCAAAACAATCAAAACTAAAATTTAACCAGAATGTAATGATATAAGGCAAAATTTTGTTGAAAAAGATCCTTAATCTCAGTTAATCGCTCACGAACTTGTAGATTAACAGAATTTCGTTATACTTTTGATTTATTATGTTCGGGATTTTACTTCAACAAGTAACTATACGATTGATAAATGATAACTGAAGATCTGAAACTAAATATTCATACTCACAGTGCTATCGAGAACATCATGAGGACAGCAACCCAGCAGAAACGGTCGACAGACTTTGCTGTCGGAGAAGCGGATTTTTGGTGCGTTGTTGTCTAGAAAATCAGATATGAGAAGATATAAAGACTTCGACAGTGCAGCGTGTGGAAGTTCCTTCCCAATCGTTCGTCGAGAGAATGGTGACGACGGAATCAGATCAGAACTAGTAAAATAGCAAGGTAGTAGGTACCTTCTGTGGAACCCATCAACTGCGCCAGCATGGCACGCATCTCATCCTTAGCAGACATTGTGTCCTTGCTTTTCCGAGCAGACTGAAAGGCTCACGTCATAAACAAAATAAGCCGGACAATCCCAAATGATTCCAGATTGCCAGGATCGACAGCTTTGGAGTTTTGAATGAGACCGCACAACATAAAGTCATATACCTGGTACACTACAGCAGTTTCAGCCTGCAGTTTCGCATTCGCATACCTTAATTCGTGGTAAGTTGCTAACTGCTTACATGAAATACATGATAAACATTCTTCAGCGTGACAAAAAATATAAAACGTAAGAATAATCCGTAATCGTATGAAAACAATTAATCTTCACTCTTCAGCCAACTGGTCACTGGTGGAAATGATATCGAGATTCGAGACTTCTCTAGTTTCTCCGTCTCACTTCCTTTTCGCAGAATCGCAGTCTTCGACCTGCTAGCGCTGCTAATTGCGACTTGGCAGTTGGCAAAAGAAATTTTTCAAGGTTTCAAACCGCAACTTACGGACCGTAAGTTGCGATGTGCGGCACACCGCACTGCTGTACGCTACGTACCGTACACAGCGTTCCGTGGCTGACGGCATGATTTCTCTGTTCGGATACAGTGTTGCGATGCATCTAACCAAGAAACGAAGTGCATGCGCACTTTGCAGTTTGCGTAGCTGCGCATTTTACGTCTTGCATATTAAGTACGTACGAAACTGAGCGCACCAGGCAGCGCTGCGTTGCGTTAACGTATGACACTTCCGCCGTCTGTAGAGTGTAGACTGACTAGTGACTGAGCGTGCCACTTTTAACCGTTCGCTTGGCAAAGGGAGAACGCAAGAACGTGGGACCTGTCGATTGATACCTCGCGAACTCTGTGATGCTGACATTTTTTACCTTTTATTGTGTGATCTTATTATCAGTGTTTATCACTCGTTTCTTTTAAACCACCTTATTTATGGACTAAATTTTTTATAGGTTTTCATGCAGGGGTTCCGTAGCTTTGAGTATTTGAGTAATTTGACCGATATCACTAGTGATGACTCTGATTATTGACGGCTCTGCCTCTGTCTGCTGATTCTCGAGTTCCCGATCGAAAACTGAACCATCTGCTCCAGTTGAAACGGTTATTCCATTTTATTCTCTTTCTGACGGTTGTCCTGAGAAAGACGTGCAGTTCGACGCAGAGCGGCCATTTCTTGATCAGGTACAGATTGCCAACAAGGGTATTGCGGGAACCGTGTCTTTGAAGTTGTCTGCTATGGCTGCTATAGACAGGAAAGACAGATCGGCAAATGGACCTGACAAGCCACGGAAACGCCGATTTGAAGAGGTAATTGTATTCCTTAAGTAACGGATGAAAATGTATAAAATAAACCATAATTATGATTGAAATCATAACGCCAGCGGGAAGGTTCAAGAGCTTCCATGTTCGCCACGGTTGGTTTGAGTAGCGCATATGTACTAACTGTGCGGTAATGTGAAATTCCTTGTCATCGCTTTGGATATAATCATCCAGGTTTAACAGATATTTTGCCAAGTATGCTTAGTTAAATTGCAAAGTCTACAGGTAGTGTTGCGTTAAATTTTGGTCTTTACTCTTTTTTTGGCTCTGGGATTAGATTGCATTATTTGCATAGAATTAAAAGAGTGGGAAATAAATATTGTTAAAGACAGAAAGTTATTAAAATTCCGAGATTTACCTTTTTTTGTAATCCCTTTGGTAGAGATCGTCGGCTCCATTTATTTACTTGTTGTAGCATTCGTTCGATGCGTTGTAGGTCGTCGATGATTCTGAAAGTCGTTCCAAGCAGTCCAAGAGCGGCGGAGACCTTCCGCCGTCTGAAAATGGGTCTTCCCGACGCAAATCACCTCCTCCCCCGGGTCGCTCCGCACCATCCTCGCAGCCATCGTCATCCGGTGGTGGCGAGAAGCCGGAGAAGGTGCTCTCTTTGGACGAGATCAAGAAGATGATTGAAGAGCGCAAAAAGGAAGTGGTACGTCTTTTGAAAAGATGTGTTCTCCAAGTGTAACAGTCTGTTCGCTGTCTTCTGCGATTTTTCTTAAAAACACATATGTTCGTAGATGAAGTCGATGCCTCCACCGCCGGCTCCGGTTATGGACGAGAAGGCCAAACGCCAGATGGAACTGCAGGCGCGCATCAGCCAGTTGCAGGCCGCTGTGACTGGGAAAACGGATCTGATTAGCGGTATGATTGCAAATAATTATAAATAAACAGTATTAATATCGGGAATTGTGTGATATGCGAATACTGGTACGGTGTAGATTTGTGTTCCTAATCAGAATCACGGGGAGTCAGCTGGATTGACGTTTGTAGTGGTTCAGCGTTACCTTTGTGAGAGAGTGATCTTTGATTTTCAAGAGTTGATGGCGGCTTTTGCTGCTGTCATAGTTAGGAAATCTACAGATAAATTTAGATACTTATTGCTTCAGATATTTTATTAAGTATGGTTTACATCGAGAGTTTAGTGCTGGGTTTTGCATCGTTACATGAGGTACATTTACGTAAACTGTAAAAGTTAAAACAACAAAATTAAATGGATCTTTTGTCGTTTATCGAGCAGGTAAATTTCCTAAATTAGCCGTTCCCAGTACTGCGGCAGCTGTTCCCTCCGCTCCTGGCCCGTTGATCCTCGATTCAGAAGGCCGCACCATCGATCTGGTAACGGGAAAGGCCGTAACGCTGGAGCAACGCGGTCCTACCTTGAAGGCCAATATTCGCAACAAGAAACGGGAGGATTTCAAAGCCGTCCAGGATAAAGTGGCCGATGAAGTGCGCGATGAACAGCCTGATTTCTACGATAATCGCGTGGCCGTCAAAGCGCCAACCAGGGCCAAGCGAGCGGTCTTCAAGTTCCACGACAAAGGCACGTTCGTCAAACAGGGCACGATGTTGCGCGCTAAGGTAAGATTTATTGAGATATTGTCGATTTGTTTATGATCCTTATCTGTAGCACAGGCGGAAGTTGAATCAGAACTACAATTATTACTTTGTTATGTTTTGGTTCTTTTATTAATTTTAAAGTTAAGCTCATTCACGTATTTGATTTCTGTAAATAATTATATCACGGGGAGTCAGCTGGATTGTTGTCTGTAGTAGTCCAGCGTTACCTTTGTGAAAAAGCAGTATTTGATTTTCAAGAGTTGATGGCGGTTATTACTGCTGTCATAGTTAGGAAATCTACAGATTTGAGTATTGCGAATCGTTATTTTGTGGCGTTGATTTGTTTCACTTAAATTATTAATTTTTAAAAAAACTATCTAAGTAATTTGGAAACCATAGAAATCAAACGTTTGGTAGAATCAAACTGATGGCTCTTTTGTAGCCATTGGTAAAGTTTTGACTTTCTTGTACGTGTTGGATCAAATCCATTCATTTTTGTAGGCTCAGTTAGAGAAACTGCAAAGCGACATCGCCCAGGCGGCCAAGAAAACCGGCATTACATCCGCCGCGGCTCTGGCGCGCATCGCCCCGAAGAAGACCGATTCGGTGGACAGTGGCATGATACCGGAAGTGGAATGGTGGGACGGCGTGTTTGCCCAGACCGCGGAAATGCTGAGCGACGCCGATGCGGTGGAGTTGGAATCCCGCTTGCAGAAGCTGGTGACTAAGCTGGTGGAGCATCCCGTCCAGTTGGCACCGCAGAGTAAGTCAATTAAAACTGAATTACTTTTTAGGATTTTTGATAATGAAACACGTTTGTGGAATTGTGAATGGTGTTTTATAGTTGATCGTGATAAACCGGTGGCATTGCCTATCATGTTAACTAAGAATGAGCGGAAGAAGCTGCGCCGGCAAGCTCGACGGGAGAAGCTAAAAGAGGAGCAGGAAAAGCAGCGAATCGGATTAATTGCGGCGCCTGAACCAAAAGGTAAGGTTATGAGCTTTTTTTGTTAGTATTTTACTTGAATATTTTAACTGATGATGAATCTTTCATAAAAAATGGATTGATTTTAAATTTGCATACCTGCTTTATCAGATGCAAGTGAATATTGTACATTAGATTGCGCATTTTCGCTTGATGGAATTGATTTGCTGTGAATCGTAAATATTGAAGAATGTAGAGAGCTGGCAGCCAGTTTTGCCTCAATTTGTCGCTTGATTCTGGTATTAAGGTGTTGGAGAAATGTTTAAATACATTTCGCCTTTGGTATAATTTTAATGGTGTTTTGAAATAGATTTTTGCTACAGTTTTCTCAAAGAGACCACGGTAATTCATAATCACAAGGAGTCAGCTGATACATTACTTTTAATGATGTACTGACGTTACCTTAATGGCAAAGTGAAAATTTTTGGTCTCTGAGAGTTGTTGATCCGACAGACTATGCCCGATTGACGTAGTGTTGAGCCCGACAGAATTTTGTCTTTGCGTTTTGTAGGTTTAGTTGAGGGAAGCCCTGTTCGTAATCAGTTACCTTAACGTTTTCTGTTATTTGCAGTCAAAATGGGTAATCTGATGCGTGTGCTGGGCAATGAAGCGGTGCAGGATCCAACGAAAGTTGAAGCCAATGTTCGTGCGCAGATAGCCAAACGAAGAAAGTAAGTAGAAATGATAGTATTATTTGAGGATTTTTAAGTAATTGAATTTTTTTTCATGTTTTTTTGTAATCCGGTTTTCTGCGTTGTGAGAAAAATACGCACTACGTTCCGGTACTGGTGGTAGTGGTACATAATATGACGAATTATATGTCTGTGTCATTTGGGTGATAAGTTGATTAGCTCCATCCAGTCAGGGCAAATGGTAATGATCGTAGTGCAATGGGTGCGTGCTTCTGACGTAAACGGTAATTGTGCAGTGGTTGCGACATGAAAAAAAATTAAGAGTACATTCCATCAGCAATCAGTACATTACAAGTAACGCAATCCTTTTCCGTACTTTTACACTTTTGTGATAGCCAACAATATAACCGACGATAAATACTGTATACTCTAAATGTCTTCCTAATTTTTTTTTGTCATTTGATAGAGCCCACGAAACAGCCAACGCACAGCGGAAGTTAACCGAAACCGAGAAGCGCGCCAAGAAAATCAAGAAGATAAAAGAGGACACCACGGAGGAAGTGAACGTGGCCATCTACCGCGTCAAGGATCTGTCGCATCCGGCCAAGAAGTTCAAAGTGGAGACCAACGCGACTCAGTTGTTTATGACCGGTGTGGTGGTGTTGAACAAGGAACTCAACATTGTGATTATCGAAGGAGGTAAGATATTTCGCATCTCGTTATAATCGAATTTGTTCTGATGTACATATTTTGTTCGGCTTATTGCAGGCCCGAAACAGCAGAAGAAATTCAAGCGTTTAATGCTGAACCGGATCAAGTGGAGCGAGGAGAAAACATCGAGTGAAGAGAGCGCCACCGTTGGTCTTTCACCACAGCGTTTATGTGAATTGGTCTGGGAGGGCAGTGTGAAGAAACGCCATTTTGGAACGGTTAAATTCAAGGTACATAATTTTGTACTAAGTAATGTTGTTACTTTGTAGTAATATTTACTAGTTCTATGATTTTGTAGTATATGAATTGATATGATTGGTTCTGTGATTCCTTTATTATTTTATTTAATAATTGTCGCATATGGATATTTGTCTTGAGTTTTTGACCGGGAATTATTTTACAGGCATGCGCGACGGAACAAGCTGCCCGCGAATTGCTGCGAAAACACGGTGTGGAGGAGTACTGGGATTTGGCGTACGGAGCGGCGATTTTGGAGTCTACCGATTAGTGTCTGGATAGCTGTTTTCCGGATAGTGTTCATGGTGTATTTATGAGAATTTCGGAATTATGGTCGTGGGTTTTGCCACTTTTTGCTGTATGGTTATTGCGCTGGAACCTGATTTAACAGTGAGAATGCTTTTGCTTCTGTGTGTTCGTGATGTTCGAATAAACGATTAAATTTGCGAATTGTGAGTATTCATGATCACTTAACTGACTTGTGAGTTCCAGAATTCTAACATTCTCTATTTCCCTTTGGCTTTCATAGATTACTGGAAGTCTATGAATTTGGGACTAAGTTCACCGAGTAAACATTGTAGAATGATTGTTTTTGATTTAAATAAAGGGTGCGACTATTGTCACCCCCTCGCACCCCTTTTTGACTATTGTCACCCCCTTTTTTAAAATAAAGTGAACACCCCCTGAGGCTATTGTTACCCCCTTTTTTAAAATAAAGTGAACACCCCCTGAGGCTATAGTCACCACCTTTGTCACCCCCTTTGACTATTGCCACTCCTTGACATTTCTTGTAAAAAATACATTGTTGCTAGCTTGGCCTTGCAGCCAGCTTAAGTAAGATTGTAAACTACCGGAAAGGTACAAAAAGGTGCCAGCGACCACTGAGTGCTGTTACCGCGGAAATAGGGGCAGCCGTTTGTTTATGACTCTGTACCACCGCCGTCGGCACCAGAGATTAAGAAAGTGCTGAGAACAAGCGGAAGGGAGGGCACCGAAATTTTCTTTCCGTGCATGAAGCATCAAAGGGATGGCCATAATTGTGGACTTTTTGCGATCGCATTCGCTGCGGAGCTCATCAGCTAAAAACCCTCGAAGATGTTAGGTTTGATGTTAAAAAAATGAGGCCGCATCTTAGCGATATTGTGATAAGTGTCAATAAGCTTCGCTCGGCGCCTTTCCCCAGGCCTGTCGGTGGTGGCAGGAACAAAGTTGGAAAAGAACCGCTGCTGGAAAATTTATAAGAATAAATGAAAGGTGGTGGCAATAGCCAAAAGGGCGTGTTTTAAGGAGTGACAATAGTCAAAGGGGGTGTTTTATTTATAAAATAAAGGGGGTGACAATAGTCAAAAGGGGGTGCAAGGGGGTGACAATAGTCAAAAGGGGGTGCAGGGGGGTGACAATAGCCATTTCCTTAAATAAAAGTGAAACCCGCCGAAAAGTCAGTTTTGTTACGATTTTCCGATTAAAGGATATACTAATTTTTTTATTGTTTCTTGTTTATTTACAAGTTAATCTCACTAACTTAATTGTGAACTGCAAGTCATTCTTTATTAATATTTTTGATATTGTAACGATTATCGGACAACATTGGTTAACATAATTTTGTCGCACTTTACTGGTCAAATCAAAAACGCAACAGAAATACAAAAAATAACACGCTAAATTATGGCAGAAAAATTTCGTTAAACTGCGTAACTGCATGCCGAAAGGACGGAAGAAGATGATCCAAAATGGCGACCTTACGGCTAGCGTGTTACAGTGTTAGCAAGCAATTTAACAACCTTCGAAATATAAGACACAGCGCTGCACTTTGTTAGAGTATTTGTTAAATATGACATAATGACATTTTACCGGCTTTTCATTCATCTACTGGCCACAGCTTGCTCCACCACGTCCAAAAAATAGAACCATTAAAAGAAATTTGTAGTAGGCGTCTTCATCGGGAACGCTGACGCGAACATACGCGTGTGGAGTCACTTCAATTCTGACTGAATCACTCCTCAAAGCTGGGCGGATCTTATGCGGCTGTTCGATGGAAAAATTGCTTCTCTTCACTTGCATACTACCGGTCACTACCTGGCACTGCTGGACCACGATAACGAGACCATGCTGGGAACACTGATGGACGGTTACAATGCTGGGATGAGGCGGGATTTTCAGCATTCTTAGAGCATGCTTAATAGGCAACAGGTCCGAAACAAGGGCAACAAACGAGGACGATGATTGCCACGCTAGCTTAGGAAGTGGTTTGTCCGCTAAAAAGCAACAAGTACTGTAATTTAAAGTATACGAAATAGTAAATCGTACTTGTCGCTACAAATCATGCTACTTGCTACGCACAAATCTTATAACTACCACTTATACTCGTACAGAAAAGTACTGGTATAAATAGTTTCCTGATTAGCGTTTTCATAATACACAGACTAACACAGTAAGTACCGTCAGGTGCAGAAGGGAACGCGTTCAGCGTCTGATTCTCTCGATTTCGCATGTCGTACTCCTTCAAAAATGGCTCCAGTTTGTAAGCGTCAGCATCGTCCGGAAAAAATCGAAGAGTGCTCCAGCCAGCGCTTTCTCGATACGTGAACAAAGCCTGAAGCAAGATGCAGTCCCGGTCGCGCTCCTTATACAACGAAATCCGCACATCTTTCCCCAGCAACATCCGCATGAAGCCATGAACGTCACTGATTGACCGTCAACAGTGCATTCCAGGCTAATGCAATGCGCTTTGCCGCTTCCTAATTTTGGAGAGGACAATGTCAAGCGAAAGCCGGGGATGATAACTGGATTTCCCGGTAACGCATGTATAAGTCGCCGGTCAGGGAAACATCATGAAGGCGGCCAATGAACCTATTCCACTCCGACTGCGCCAGGTCATTGTCCGCGTGGGGCAGCGGCAGCGCCGTCAGTATCTTTTCCATATCGAATGCGATTCCCTCACGCAGATTGACGAGCAGATGGTTTATCAAGGTGTTCTCTCTGTTTCCTGCCAGACTGCTGGCAATCGCCGCGCCAAACGCCTCCGCATCGTCACCATAACTCTCCGCCCCGGCAATCACCTGACTCTTCGTGGCACTCTCCAACGCGGTCCGCAATAGCCCCAGCCGGGAATTCTCGCCCACCAATAGCAGCTCCACTTTCCCGTTGATGTTCCCGGTGTTCGCGTCCATTATCCCGAATCGCCCCAACTCCGAAACGACACGCTGTCGGATGGCGTCGATGACTGGCGCCGCCACCGCGTGGTACATGCCCCGTGTGCACGTCACAGCATACTGGTGAAACGGGGCGCGAATGGTCACCTTGTCGGTTAGGGAATCGTCAAACACCGCCATCTGGCTCCAGCACTCCTCCTCCAGCTGCGCCCGCTGATTCACTTCCGGCATCCCCGCACTCAACAGCCGCTCATATATCGCGGCGACAACGCGCCGCCGTAGATCGGCGAAACAACCCCACAGCACACAGTTATTGTGGATTTTAATTACGTAGTTGTTGCTGATCACCACGAAGAAGTCCACCCGGCAACGCTCGGAATCTGCATTGCACACCAACAGATAAAACGGTTCGGATGCTTTGGTGATGATGGACCGCCGGTCCAGTGTCTGCACGGTGTAGGCCAGCAGAATGGCCGATACGTCGGAGATGCACAGGACATCCATGATGCCGTTCTTCTGCCAGGCGTCCATCACCATTTGACGGTTGACTGGACTGCAGTTCAGACATTGCGGCAAAACGACAACAACGCCTTGGAGACACTGCTTCAATTTGTTCTCCCCGATCATCTTGATGTGAGCGAAGAGCTGTTCCAGCAACAGGGGTACCAGCGGATTCTTCCGACCGTCGTTGTGAGATAGCAGCGCGTGCTTCACCGATGGGACGTGTTGGTAGTGCGTGTCTGCTAAGAAGCTGCCCGCGTTCATCCCAAAATGCCATTCGCTGCGATCAATACTGCAGGCTGCGCTGGATGGGAAGCTGAAGATTACGCGCGGCACACCGTTTTCGTACAGCGCAAGCGAGATCTTCTTGAATCCGATTTCCACTCCCAGCCGTAATTCGCTCATTTTTCTGGAAGAACATGAGTCGTTAATCCTGTTGAACATATTACAGACAGCTGAAATCGTGATGATCGGTAACGCCGTAACGGCAAATAGAGAGCGAACCCGTTCGTAAAGACCTTTACGGTTTACCGTACTTGAAAATAAATCGGAGGTTGAAATAGGATCAGGAAGCTCTTCTTCATCCACCTGCGCGAACTGCCGAAAAGGGAGGCAGTAGTAACTGGAGTACAGTACTTCCTTCTGAAGTCTGGAAAAAAAATACTGATTGTTGAGCGCAGACTGCAGACAGCAGAGAGTCTCAGACATCGCCATGAAAATCCGTCGTACAACAGAGTATGGCGTACCAAACGGGCCAGAGTTTTCCAGACAAATGCTAACGACAAATGCTTTTTAGTTTTCAATCAAATGTTACTGACAAATTAATGTTTTTCAAAAAAATGTAACAGACAAATGTTTCTGACAAATGTTTTCTTACTATCAGTCTCAGACAAATGTTTTTTGAAAAAATTTTACAGACAAATGTTTCTGAAAAATGCCGAAAACTTTCAAACAAATGTTACTGACTTAACAAATGTCAGAGACTTTCAGACAAATGTTACCGACAAATGTCAGAAGCCTACTGCGATCTAGGCCGTACACTACGTAAGGGGCCTAGAGCCTACAACTCTACCGGAAATAGGGAAAACGCACTGGGAAGACGTAAATATCAATATTAATGGCTCATAAATATATAAATCACAACATAAACATCATCCTATGACACAGGTGGGAATGCCAAGCATGGAAATCACCGAATGATCTGTGCAGTCGTGAAGACTGTGCTGGCTACCTGCAAAGTACTATGCCTCAAGTGAGAGTGGCTGATGTACGAGTTGTACGTAGTGCACTGCACGAGTAAACTCGTACAAGCACATACGCTGCCGTGCTATGGCTCGCAATGCCGTATAACAGTGAGAATGGCTCTAAACAATAGTACTGGCTGACAATATAGTGCTGGCTCACGCGTACACTCCCGATAGTACGAAGGCGTCCATAGCCTGGCTATCCTGACGGAGTCTCCCTCATGCCACTGGGTGGGGTGCCGAGGCCTCCCGAGGCCCGCTGATCTCCCGGCATTGCACTGGTAATACGAGAAACGCAAGAGTACGAGATACGGATGTTGCTTCCCCGTGGTGTCCTGAGTAGGTCTGAAAGTTGATCGTATGCTATTCCGCCATAGCGCTGCTCAGTGCAGTTTGTGCCATAACGAAATCAACACACTGCCTGTAGGAATGGCTGACATCAGAAGTCGCTCACGTTTCCTCGCAACACTCGCCACTCGCAAACCAGTGATACCGAAATCACATTGATTCTCAAACTCAACCACTTCTCGACCGTTCACCAACCACTTGAGTATTGAGCGCGTATCTTGCCTCTGGTTTGCCTGTTTAGGAGTAGTTTTTGGCTCTGAATTTACCATGGCGAAACGGTAAAGACTGGTTAAAACGGTAGAACTGATTGAAGTACGATTGCCTTACACAAATGATTTTGTATGGTTAGTTTATGAGAATTGAATGCCTTTCCTGTGCCTTACAATAAGAACACAAAAATACAACATGGCCTTAAGGGCGATAAAATTTGGCTTATGGCCTTATTATTAAAATTACCAAAATAAAAATCCATCGAGATGCAATTTAATGTTATCACAAAAACAGGAATTTGGTCTGTTAGAGAAAACAAAAGAAAAATACCGGAATTCCGCTGGCGGGTTACAATCCGTCCAATCCAACGGGTTATTCCAACTCCAAACTCACAAGGACCGTATCTGCCCAAGGAGTTATTCCAAACTCTCATGAACTGTATCTGTTCATGGAGTGTAAGAATGATAAGTAGGTGTGGCTGATGTAGGTCTGGCTTAGAACATGGCGTATTCCGACGCAAACCCCTTAATTTGCACCAGGAATGTCATCCACATCCTGATTCGCATGTAATTCGATAGTCCTGCCGTCAAGTGCATTATCTGCTGGCTTAGCTGATTCATCAGCTGGTTGTTCTGGCTGTTTCTCCGATTTCCCCGTGTTTTTGTCTGGCATTTCAGTATCCACCTCCTTGTCGTCGTTCAAGGATGCTCCTTTCAATGCGTTCAACGCATCACTGAGGTCTGCCTGCTGTGGAGTTTTCATCTCCTCTGATGGGGCTGATTCATTTTCGCCTGTTGGCTTCTTGAGTGCTGGTTGTGCTGGCGTAGTTGGTGATGCTGCAACGCTGCGTTCATTAGAGTTCTGACTAGAAGTTAATTCAGCTGCCTTGCGCTTTTTCTCACTACGGGTTTTCAGGCGATCGATATGGTCAGTAACCATATCGACGGGATCCTGGACGTAGGTGAGGATTTTTGGCTTTTCTTTAGGAGTAGGTCTGGCTAAGGCTGGTTCGTAAATCTCCTTCTGTTGTTCTGGCAAGTGTGGTCTTCCGATAGCTTTACAGTTGTTCTGAAGGCGTCCTTCTGATTTACGGTCATACAAGTAGGAATGGCTGTTGTAATGACCAAGTAGGGCTGCCAGCATACGTGCGAACAATCTGGAGTTGTACTGGCGTGATTTCGGAATGTTCCAACGAACTTCCTCAAGAGTCTTGGCGTACTGGAGTGTCTGGAAACAATGGATTGCTGCCTTACATGCGACCAGGAATAACGCTGGGTTGGATTCAGCGCTGACCCACTGGAAGAGGTAATCCTCCCAATGGATTTTTCCGTGGTACTGCAGTTGTGAGAGTGCCTCATAATCGACGGTTGAAATTGGCTTATCCAATTCATCCAAGTCGAAGAAGGTTTTCAGGTTGTTCTGCCTACCGTTGGCGTACTGATACTCCAATTCCTCTCCATGAGGACCTTCCACGCTGTAGTCGCGTTGTTCCAACTGCCCATAAAAATCGATTTCACTGGCAAAGTCGTTAAATTCAGTAACGACTGTTCGAATGGCTCTTTTGTATTGGAATGCCTTAGACTGCCCAAACAGGTTGAAGTGCTTCATGATTTTGTTGACCTGCACTTCTTCTGATTGTGGGCGTGGGATGATTTTTAGCTTTTCAGTCTTCGGTTTTCTGCCTTTTCCCTGTGGAAAGTTCAACTGATCGTCAAAATCTGACATTACACTTGTTCTGCCGCTATTACAACCTACCGAAGATGTTGGTGTTGGCTGATCAAAAACAGGGCCACTACGAGGATTGTAACTGCCTCGTGCGCCACTCTGCTGTCGGTCTGATTGGGGAATTGCTGGCTTTTTGGCCGCATCTGCATAGCGCGGCTGAGGATGTGGTGCGCGATGCATCATTGTTGGGCTGGGGGTTGGCTGGCTATATCCTGCAACGCCCAAAGAGTGGTGGATTGAGCGTCAGGAATTTTTGGCTCAGGCGGCACTGGTGCATCTCGCCATCCGCCGGTAAATTTGATGTGCTGGCTAACTGCGCTGAAAACTTTCCGATGAAAGCTGTAGCTGGCTTCAACATGGGGCCAATATTTGGACTGGCGTACACGGTCGTAAGCATCGCGGCTGCCATTTACGACCTCCGTGACGAGAGCTTCGACCTGGCTGGGTAGATCTGGCGTATCCATGAAGAGATGATCCATACATGGACGTGTTCCTGTGTTGTATTGGCATGCCTTACAATCTTTATTGTAGAGTCTGGCGAATGCCATTCTGAAAGTAGAAATGCCTTAATTTAAACGTATATCATAGTGGTGATCCCACTACGTAGATTTGGCTTTTTAACTAAATTAATGAGTAATTTAGTTATTTTTATACTGGCTGTAGTAACTGAAATTTTTCTGAAAAAGAATAATATTACACTGCCTACAAACTGAGTTTACATGATATTACTATCATGCGATCTGTATGATCCAGTTTGTTGTTTTTATGTGCCTTAATTACCATGCGATCTTTTAAATTACGATTTATCTGCCTTGATTACCATGCGATTTGGTAATTCTGTGCTGGTTTAACTGGCTAAAATCGCAAAGTAGATTGTAACGCCTACCATGCGATCTGCGGTTGTAACTGTATAAGGATTTTAACTGGCTAAAATCACATAGTAGATTTACAGCTACCATGCGATCTAGACTGTGAAATGGGACTGGCTATAATCACAAAGTAGATTTGCATCTACCATGCGATCTGTCGTAATTAGAAATGAAAATGGCTATGATTACACAGTAGTTGTGAGACTACCATGCGATCTTATTGTGTTATGCGTTGATCTGATTGTTGTTTTGGCTAGGAAGTAGACTGTAAGGTCTACTTCCGTTTTGCTGGAGGTTGAGATGCCTGTGGTGGTGATGAGAGTGGGTGTGTCAGTCGGAAACACACTCCACGATGGACGTCGGTGTCATAGACGAAATCGTCCATGAGCTGCCTTTCATACATTGTCGTTTGTGGTGCTGGCATATGTTGCATGTCTGGCAAAATTGCCCTGATATAGAGTGCTGCCTCACTGATTGTTGTACCGCTGGGATCCGCAATCTCATGGATAGCTCTTGTAATAAGCGCTCTCCAGGGATCGGGATTCTTCTGCCGTAGTTCTGATAAGCGTGACTCTGTGTTAGCTGGCGTAATGTAAACTGGCTGATTTGTACCGTGAAACTGGCGTATGATATGGCGTGAAATTGTCAGCTGCCTTAATACGTATGAGACTGCCACAACAGTGTGATCTGGCCGCTCCTCGAACAAGGACTGCCAAATTGCATCTGGTGTAGGTCGTCGTAGTTGTGCCTGTAACTGACCAATAACACGTAGAATGTCATTGGGATGGGGCATGGGATTCTGATGTGGTACTGCCGGTATGTCTTCAATTGGCTCTCCTGTTAATGCGCTGACTCTCTGTGCATGAGTGCTCGTCAGTGCATAGCGGTGAAATGGCGGTTGAACGGCGCCAGGGTTGGGTAATTCTTCAACTACCCGTCGCTGGACCAATTCACGTAGTGCTGCCTGTATAGTTCTGATAGCTTCTGCTGGAGTCATATCTGGCTGTGGGAAAACTGCCTGTATGTACTGGATGATCTCCAGATTTGTTGATTCAATTGGGGTCATGAATCTCGTTATTGCTGCCTCTACCACGTACCGAAACTGTCGCGGTAAAATAAGTGGGGTGTCCTGATGCTGGTTTCGTCTGACTTGGGGAGCTGTGTAAGTTGCCTCCGTATTCCACTGATTATTTCCACTGCTGAAGGTGCGTACAACTCTGGCTGTATTAACTGCTAAATCAACTGCCTCTCTGAATTCAGCAAGACTGGCCTGTAAACCACCGAGTCGAGTGCGGTAAAAACCCTCGAGCACGGATAGTGTTGGGCGTGTCTTCTGAGTTTCCTTGGCGTATCTGATGGCTTCCAAAATTTTCGGAATTAATGCGGTGATTCTGGCTCGTCTGTCGTCATCTGATCTGGGTCGTTTTGATTCGCTAGATCTGTCTGGCTGACCTGGTACACATGTTTGTACTGGCTTTATGGGAGATGCCTCGGGAGTTTTATATCCCAGTAGTTGTGGCTGTGTATACTCTGGTGAATCTTCGTCTGAACGCCGCTGTAGTGTTGGCGGTGAATAAATGGGTGCTCTCTGCCTAGTCATATCCAGGGTTGCAAAACCTGGAAATGGTGGGACTGACTGTCGTACTGGAGCTGGAGGTCGGCCTGTAGGTACTGCTCTGCCTGATGCTCTAGCTGGGTCGCCTGATTTTGTGGCTGTAACCCAACGACAACCTCGCCTGCAAGGTAGATCTGGCTCTGTGCTCCTTGAATTACGGAACCTGTACT